GAGTCCTTTGGGAGGCGACTTGATCTTTTATTGTTAATATAACTGGTTCCTGCTCGGAGGTTTTGGTGATCCCCTGCTACTAGACACGGAAGCCTGAACACATGAATTAGGTGATGAGAGGCTCGATTATCACAAGTTTCTTGCAACGATTAAGTAGGTAAAACAAAGTAGCATTAGATTTAAAAATTTACTCAGGAACTTTTATTAAGAATCGAATATCAAACGAAGGTTCAAACAAAGTTCCCGTTTAAAAGTTGCACTAGTTATGTTAAGCTGCAGTCTTTGTTGGTTTTTACCAAATGAAAAGGTAAAAGAAGTAACTAAAAAGTACTGGAGGTGGTTGTGAGACTAAAATGGACATCCAGCATCCTTTTTATGGTCTGCTGTTAGTTAGATCTCCTGTAAACAGATCAATAGGGACATAGTTCTAAGGGCGAAACAGTTCTTAGGATCTGTGAAGACTCAGTCCTGTTGCATTCTAAATGAGAAAATAGTAATGAATTTAGTCAGAAATGTGGAATAGATAAATAACCAAATTACATGTATTTTAGCAAAGAATTTATGCAGTTGTGATTTACCTTTAGTTCATGAATATTAGGTCAGGTCAGCTATTTATTGTGCAAAGCATAACATGGACTTAATACCGTATCTCAATGCTTTTATTATTTTGCTCTCATTTAAGTAATACCATGTATCTGCATCGAGTTTAACAGGGAGACATACAAGCAGAGTTAGTGTTTGATGAACTAAAAGTCCTAGTTGTCAAAAAGATTCTTAACATTTGTCCACAGCCAACTGCATTTAACTGAGATACAGAACACTCATCTTCTAAGACTGTATACTGCTCTTCTGCGGGCAAATAAAAGCTCACACACTTAGCTATCCTGCTACCGATATTATTACCGGGGAAATTGTTTAATGACAGTGATCATGAAATATGGTCAGTGATAGATGTACAATCTAGAAATAAACACCAAACATACTTATTGCTATCTTATAATGTATGACAGCAACAGTACCAAAAGCACTTTTTTCCTATTTTTAATCAGACTGATTTGAATCAGTATACTCATCAGAAACAGGCAACTCTACTTACTAGACTGATCTGTTTCGTTACAGGCTTCAAGCACTATACTTAAGTATACCATAATTCTTTCAACTAAACTGAATTATACAACAACCAAGAATACTAAACTAAGCAAGTGTCATAGTTATTGTTTCATTTGCACAGGCATATTGCTTAAAGTAGTTTAATGGACATAATTAAGACGATAAAACAAAAACACGAAATATAGGCCAATTGAACTTACCTAACAGAAGACAAAGAATATATATATTGCATTCCGACTGAAGACAACAGGCAGTTGTTCATAAAAACATAGTTTCTAGTACAATAAAACTTTCTACAGTAAAATGATGCACTGACAGTCTATCTGGAAACAATCAACTATGTGAATAAACTCACTATGACTTGAGATATCATCCCAGCATGCAATGGACGTGCAGTGTAACGCAGTCGAACGTGGCGAATAAAAATATAAAAAAGATCAAAATTAACCATATAATCTAGTTATTTAATTAAAAATACATTATGAAATGACAAAATCTGTGGTTACTTGAACGCACAGATGACCGATACATTAAGTTTACATGGTTGCGTTGCGGATAAGATCACCCGCACCTAAGTGGTTTGGAATTGTATTGTCTGTAAAGTGTGATCGATAAACAAGCCCATTGATGACAACATGAGACGTCCACCACTACATTAACCTTCTTTGACTTGTATGGATATGCTTTACCTATTCATCAGTCATAATTTTATGTTTATCATAAGACGATGTTTAGCTTGTTGACTTAATGTTCCTATCCTCTTGCTGCTGTCCGGTTTGTTATTTATGCCTCTCTTTTTTACTGTTTAATAGACTGTTGATTGTCTGTTTGTATACCAAAAGTGTAAGTTCAGGCCTTAGAAACAGATAAAGTTTATCAAGCCAAATAGCTTACTTGTTCTGTTTTTGGCTCAGCTTGTGGTGGACCAAAAAGTATAATAACCAAAAATTAGCGATAAAGTTATTACGTCCAAAAGTTAATGTAACAATACCAATTTATAGATTAGCAACACAAAATAAAAGTTCAGGGACGTTACTTAAATCAGCTAGTTGTTGCGTGTTCCGTTGAGCTTTGGTCCCAAAAATCCACAATTATAAATGAGTAATAACTCCAATGAGATAAATATAACTCCAGTAAGTTTCTTTGGCATAGGATGTAATAGAAATGGCACAGAAGTCTTAAATGTGGATAATATTCGATTTAGAATGCGATTGACTCGATAAGGCGTGAGAATAGAACAATTAGCGTGTGTGTGTATAGCAATGTATTTTGTCAGCAAGCAACCATATGTCACGCTATGTAGTAGTACAACGGAAAGTGTGTTCAAGGTCATTTACTAAAACAACAGTTACAGTCATTTAATGTTAAATATACATACAGTGGAAGGTTGACAAAATAAATACGAATAACATTGAAAACTATTTACAAAATCAGGTTGTCAGGCCTATCTCCACATAGCTCCCCCCAGGGTGTTCGGAGGTAACACTGGTTATAATAAAAAATGTAAGGGTATATGTACATGTATACTAAAATAATATTTACAGTTATAGCTAACAAAAATGTGGAGATGAGTGTGACATGTAGCAGAGATGTAGCATAGCATAATAAACACACACACACACAAAATGAAGACACTGTCATTTAATGTCTTGTTTGACTAACAATGATAATAATAATGTGCAAAACTGCTAATGACACCCAAAAAATGAACTGTTGATGTATTTTTTTGTGTACAATAAATGGGTAATTAGAGTTCACTCGTTTATTATAGTAACAAAAATGTTTTTATAAAAAAATGTGACAAAACGAATAATTGTGGAAAAATGTTATTATGTACACTGTAAAAATGAAAAAATAGTTTTTTTTGGGTGAAATTAGTAGTGTGTGACATAGGTAGGTGTGTGCTTTTTTTAATCGATGAAATGGACATAACGCTTGGGTTTGTTTATAGGTCTACCGGAGAGTGTTAAACAAGGAGGCTTAGTATTAAGTTTTTTATCCTCCACTAGTTTTTCAGTCGCCGGCGAGAGGGGTTGATTGTCAACAGCGTTGTCTTCCTTGACTTGAGTAGCTTCACAGAAAGCAGGTTTTATTCTGTCTCTAAAAATAGTCTGCTTGTTGCCATCTCTGTTGACGATGAAGCATTTTTGTGTGCATTTAATTACTTTATATGGACCTTCATATGGTTGTTTCAATGGTTTTTTAACCGCATCTACTCGGACGAAGACAAATTTGCACGTTTCATGGTTTTTATCAAGTTGGACTCGATTGTTGTGTTCGCGAGGGGATATTGCTTTAATATTCTGCATCGTTTGTAATAAGCGACTTGCGAAGTGAGTAGCATTCCCTGGCGTTGTAGGTTCATAGTTGACTAGTTGACCAGGTAACGTTAAAATTATACCGTAGACTAACTCGGCGGCTGTACATCCAATGTCTTCCTTTATGATTGAACGAATACCGAGGAGTACAAGCGGTAAGGCATCGCTCCACTTTGATGAGTAAGCTTGCTCCATCAGTGAGTTTTTTAATTGGCGATGGAATCTTTCAACCATGCCATTAGCTGCTGGGTGGTAAGCTGTGGTTTTAATGTGGTTGACCCCTAGAAGTTTAGTGAACTCCTGAATCGGGGACCACGATCTGTTGTGATTGTTGATGGCACTCCATAGCTAGATATCCAGCGGTCGAGGAAGACTGAAGCGACTGTTTCTGCCGAAGTGTCGAATATGTTGAAAACGTTTGTCGGGAATAGAAAATTCCCCGATCGGGCTGATAGTATGTTTTTGGATTTTGCTGCGTTGACACTGGAGGCAGTTACGTGTCCAACGCTTAACATCCCAGTTGATTTTCGGCCACACAAAACGTTCAGTGATGAGCTTTGTTGTTGCTCTGATGCCTGGATGTGAAAGATCTTGTAAGTGCTGGAATATTTTTCGTCGTCAGGCGTATGGGACAAACGAACGATTGTTGCCTGTTGAGGTGTCGCACATGATGAAGGCATCTGAATGAAGAATTGGCACAGGTTTGAGATTTAAGCTAGACTTTCCTTTGCAGACTTTCAATTCTGCATCGTCTACTTGAAGTTTAACCAAGATTTGAGGATGATGTCATGATTGAGTACCATGGTATTGATAACTCTCCTAGATAGTGCATCAGCGACGTTTGTGTGACCTTTGATAAACCTGATGTCTGTAGTAAATTGGGAGATATAATCAAGTTGTCTTGCTTCTCGTGGGGAGTGTTTGTCATACGATGTGCCAAAAGAATGGCAAAAAGGGTTTATGATTGTTATGAACGGGGAATTAAAAAGCCCAGACAATTACGAAAGCTATTTTCTTGGGACGTTATTGCATTTCATTCAAACCCTGTAAAACACATATTTATTTTTGTCCTTACCTTATTCTACATAACACGAGCTTTCGTTCTATGTATCATTCACTAGCATACTCTTTTTTGTTCCGAAAATATTGTAATTTAAACATAATATTTTGCACTGTATTTTCGACCCTAATTCCCTGTTTCCGGCATAACTGTATTTTTCCAAATTATTGTACGTCGTAGTCAAGATATTAACTTATTTATTCATGTACATTTTTGTACTAATCCGAATTCAGAGAATCCAGAGTTCAGTGTTCCAACTGTCTTGTCTTCTCTCACTTGCGTGCTTGCCAACCAATCAGGTTCTAGAATAGTTATCTCTCTACCCCATCTCGAACTCACGCGTGATAGACTCAATGTTGAGCCGCTTACCTTATCGCGTCAAGGCCATAGTTTAGTCTAGACAAATCAAGGTGAAGTCATAACAAGTATCACGGGGTAAAAACGATTCAAGGTCATAACAACTGGCGACGGGAATTTTTTAAAATTTTATATATTGATTGATCCAGTACAAAATGCCTGTATCAATGGATGACCTTAAAACTATTCTTCAAATGCAGCAAGCACAAAATGATGCGAATCAAACGAAGCTTTTTGTCACGTATACTGGGAAGGTGAATCGAGAGTGCGAACGCTTCAAAATAAACGAAATCACTGCGGACCAATTTAAATGCTTGATTATCATATGTGGTCTAAAGAATGCAGAAGATGCAGATGTCCGTACCAGAATGTTGGCACGCGTCGAAGAAGAACCGAATATGACATTACAAATGGTTACAACTGAATGTCAGCGGTTAATTAATCTCAAGCATGACACTGCGATGGTGCAACAGAAGGTTAAACCTTCCGATTCTGATTCAATTAATGCACTCCGATCCTCAAAATCATCAAAACAAAACTGTAAAATCATGAAACAACCTTCTGCAAAACCCTCATTACCATGCTGGTTCTGCGGAGCATGGCATTTTGCAAAATTCTGTCCGTTTAAGAATCATAAATGCCGCAGATGTCATCGCATTGGCAACAAAGAAGGTCATTGTTCGTTAAATAAACGCAAGACTAAACGTCGTAGTGAAAATTCAAAGCAAAGATCAAACATTCAAATTAAAACCACGTTTGCAACCTTTAAAGTTGGATTTAAAAGTAGGCGGAAATTTGTAAATTTATTAGTAAATGAAAAACTTATACGACTTCAGTTGGACACTGCTTCTGATGTCACGTTGATTTCAAAGAACACATGGCACAAGTTAGGATGCCCACGCATCCGACCGACGGAACATGTCGCCCGAAATGCTTCAGAAAACATAGTAAAGTTAACAGGAGAGGTTCTATCCAATGTTCAACTCATGGGAAGTAAATTTACAGATGTTTGTTATCTAACAAATCGACACGATTTAGATCTATTGGGATTTGATTGGATTGCTCATGTTGGTACTTTGAATAAATTATTAGATGAGGTATGTTCCCATAATGTCTCCTATGAGTCTATCCAAATGATATCCAATGATATTTCTAAATCAAATGCCTCCGACGAATCATCCTCTCTGGATATTAACGAATTAAATGCTTCTGATGAAACATGTTCTTATGATCTTTCTGAATCAAACAATTCATATGTTATGTGTTCTCACCATGTCAAATCTAATACCGCCGATTTATTACCTTCTCATAAAATTTCCAAATTGAAGACTTCAGACAAAGTATGCGCTGGTGAAACTTCGGAGTCTCATGTACTTCTTTCTAATGTTATGTCTTCATCAAAGTCTTCTGTCTCCTCTCAACTGTCGTCCGTATCTTACATAAATCATCTTCGACAAAAACATGCATGTGTATTTCAAAACAAACTGGACTGTTGTAAATTCACCAAAGTATCCTTATCACTAAAGGAAAATGCAAAACCCATTTTCAGACCGAAACGACCAGGGCCTTATGCTGCTCTGTCAGTCGTTGACCAAGAATTGGACAGGTTAGAAGCGCTAGTTGTCATTGAGCCAGTAAATTATTCATCGTGGGCTGCCCCCATAGTGGTCGTGAGAAAAGCAAATGGAACTGTTCGCATATGTGCTGATTTTTCCACTGGTCTGAATAATGCTCCAGAAGATCACACGTATCCACTTCTCATACAGGAAGATTTATTCATCAAACTAAATGGAGGAAAGTATTTTGCTAAAATTGACCTGGCTGACGCATATCTCCAGATAGAAGTTGATCCAGCCTCCCAACCATTACTGACGATTAACACCCACAGAGGTCTTTACCAATATAAGCGTTTACCTTTTGGTGTGAAACCAGCACCAGCTATCTTTCAACAAATAATGGACACTATGTTGGCTAATTTGCCAGGAGTCTCTGTCTATTTGGATGATGTAATTACAGGTTCCAGTAAGTCCGAGTTATTCAATCGACTCGATACTGTTTTAACCAAAATATCTGAGTGTGGATTCTATTTAAAAGAAGAAAAGTGTACATTCTTCATGAACTCGGTGAAATATCTTGGTTTTGTTTTCGACAAAAGTGGACGACGCCCGGATCCGGAAAATGTACGAGCTATCCAAAATATGCCTCCCCCATCTAATGTAGCAACTTTGCGTTCCTTCCTTGGTCTTATCAGTTATTACAGTAATTTCTTGCCACAATTGCATCGCCTCCGGGCACCCATGAACCAATTATTATCCAGTAATGTAAAATGGAATTGGTTCACTAAGTGTCAGAAATGTTTTGATGAAGTAAAGTCATTATTAACGTCGGATCTACTTCTTACATATTTTGATCCCTCGCTGGAAATTGTTGTTGCTGCAGATGCTTCTGACTATGTATAATGATTCTAATTGTTTGAATTATAGCACTAACTAAGAGTCCAAGAAATAACGCAATTGAATTAAGGAGACATAGGCACAAACGAATGTACTGTATTTGGAATTCGAAATTGTGCAATCAATCAGTACAATAGTATCATTAGTTCGTTCAAACACCACATCCGCCACAGCTTAAATAGAAGTATAAGTGTTTGCAATCGGTTGTATGTCTTCTTGTTAAGTTCATCCTGATTCTGTCCGACATTGTACTGGATGAAAACTTTGTAGTATCTAGAATGTGCTCATTAGTATGGGAATTAACAAACGAAATCGGAACAGATTCACCTGGAATTGTATACAATCAACATATCGGTTTTGTACTGAAATGATTCATATGTCGAATTGGAACCATAGATTTTTCAACGCTACCCCCACCACGAAATAATGTTGGGTATTATATTCCCAAGTTATGAATAATGTGGCTTCATCTAAAACATATTTCTCACATTGATTAGAGTAAACATTGGAAGTGTTTTTGTGATAAGGATGAACAATAGTTGATATGAAATCATCAGAATTGTAATCAAAACCGAGCTCATTTAGTATTCGTGCTTTGCATTGAACAAGTTTTTCACAAGGAGCAAATGCATTATGAGGATAGGTAATACATATGATATCAGGATTTGATTCTTCTGAAATATTTTCATGAAATTGACTAAGAATGTCATTGCAGAGCAATGGATCATTAGAAAAATTAGCATCTATCATGACTGCCTCAGGTTTTTGATAATGAATAGGTTCATTTAACATATTTTCCTCAGATTTGTAAGAAATTTCATCAGAAATATGTGAATCATTAGGAAAAGCCATACCTGGTACAATAGCACGAGAATTCTGATAAATCGATTGGTTAGAAACTGTTGTTTCGCAAGAATTCTGAATTTGATTTAACTCTGAACTGTTTTGTGACTCTACACTGTATATTGCAATCGTTGATAAAGATAAATCATCATTATAAATACTCGACTCAGTAGAATCAGAATTACAAGACTTAATATTAGTTGCAATAAGATGAACATTAGTATTGCAGACTGACTGAATATATCCAATAACATCACATTTCAAGCATTTAGAATTACGAAATTTATATGAATTAAAGGCATGGAACTTGCCACAGGACAAACACTGAACAAACTTGTGCCCATCTTCGTGAAACGCACTGCAACCCCGCAATGAATTATTTGCATATCCTTGAATATGCACTGGATTAGGATAACGTGAGGTAGTAGAATTTTTGATGTCCTGATGAATCATTTTAGGAAATTCCCCTTCTTTACTGCAATCAAAATTTGCATACTTGACATAGTCCAGTAGTAATTCCTTGAGAGTTGTATAAGGAAGCGAAATGGGTTTTTCCGGCATAGCCAGAGTTCTTAATAAACTGTATGCTTCTTTACCGATGAATGTGAGGAAATATGCCACAATATTAACATCCTCATCATCTTCTTTGGTCATGACCCAGATTTCGAACCTTTCGAAATAATCCTCAAAAGCTTCAGAAGTTGAATGAATTTCTAACTTTTCCATTTCAGGCTCAATCGTGACGCCAGTATAATGTTTTGAATTGTTTGAATTATGGCACGAACTAAGAGTCCAAGAAATAACGCAATTGAATTAAGGAGACATAGACACAAACGAATGTACTGTATTTGGAATTCGAAATTGTCCAATCAATCAGTACAATAGTATCATTAGTTCGTTCAAACACCACACTATGGTATCGGTGCCGTCATATCCCATAAGTTTCCAGATGGCAAAGAGAAGGCTATCGCACATGCTTCCAGAACATTGACTTCAGCAGAACGCAATTACAGTCAAATTGAGAAAGAAGGATTAGCATTAATTTTCGCAGTAAAAAAGTTTCACAAGATGCTGCATGGCAGAAAATTGACCTTAATCACTGATCATAAACCTTTATTATCAATTTTCGGATCTAAGAAAGGTATACCAGTTTATACGGCAAACCGCCTCCAACGATGGGCTACAATGCTATTGGGTTATGATTTCGTTATCAGATACAAATCTACCTCTGATTTTGGCCATGCTGATGCATTATCGCGCTTAATAAGCAATCATAAGCTTGAAAACGAAGATACTGTTATCGCTTCTATATCAGTGGAAGAAGATGTAAGCAGAATGTTGTTTTATTCAACACAAATTCTTCCAGTGACAGCTTCTCGAATCGCTGAACACACTCGCCGCGATCCTATCTTAAGACCATTATCTACATTTATCCAGCGTGGTTGGCCCCCACGTATAACATCTCATGAACTGAAACAGTATTATCAACGACGCCAATCTTTATCCATCGTAAATGACTGTATTATGGTTGCTGATCGCGTAGTGGTTCCGTATAACTTACGCTCACTCGTCCTGAAACAACTGCATACAGGTACTGGAAGAATGAAAGCTATTGCTCGAAGTTATGTATATTGACCTAATATCGATGAACACATCAAAGATTTCGTGCGTGAGTGCAGAAAATGTGCTGAGGTTTCTAAGTGTCCACGAAAAGCTGAACTACATTCCTGGCCATCTCCAGAAAAACCTTGGTCGCGTATACATGTTGATTTTGATGGCCCATTCCAGGGTACGTACTTCCTCGTTTGTTTTGATGCTTATTCAAAATGGCCGGAGATTTTTCCTATAAATCAAATCACTTCGCAACAGACTATCATGAAGCTACGGCAGTTATTCTCTCGTTTTGGAGTTCCAGATGTTCTCGTGACAGATAACGGTACTCAGTTTATTTCTTCCATCTTCTCAGGTTTCTGCAAAAGGTTTGGAGTCAAACATGTCCGTTTACCTCCGTACCATCCACAATCGAATGGTCAGGCCGAAAGGTTTGTAGATACCTTCAGAAGAGCGCTACTGAATGCAAAAGGGGAGGGAAAGATAAAGGAGATTCTTGATGACTTTCTCTTGGTCTATAGAACAACTCCAAACCCATCAACACCAAATCAAATGTCCCCAGCAGAAATTATGTTTGGTAGAAAAGTAAGAACTGCTCTCGATGCCACAAAACCACAGCAAATAGACATCGGAAAAAGAAACAGAAAGATGGCAAGCCAATTTGATCGCCATCATGGGGCGAAACGCAGAATTTTCCAAAGAAATCAAAAAGTATACGTCTGTGATTTCCGATATTCACCTCCACAATGGACCAGTGGACGCATACTTAAGAGACAAGGGAACGTAATGTATGTGGTGGAAGTTGAAGGACAGAAGTGGACACGCCATGTCAACCACATACTGGAAAATGCTGGCACTCCACAGAAAACCGAGAAATTAGACTCAATGTGGAGAATCATTCTGGACAGTTTCGACATAAAATGCTCCGCAACTCAGAAGACTGCGCAACATGAACAAAGTCCTATTAGGAAAGTATCATGGAAACCAGATATTCTACAGGTAGACCCAAAGAGGAAAACATACGTTTCCGAAGGAAGATATCAATGATGATATCTCAGCACTTACCTGTATATAGTAACTAACCATATGTTTTTTTCTTCTTTTTTTAAGGGGGTAGGTGTTATGAACGAGGAATTAAAAAGCCCAGACAATTACGAAAGCTATTTTCTTGGGACGTTATTGCATTTCATTCAAACCCTGTAAAACACATATTTATTTTTGTCCTTACCTTATTCTACATAACACGAGCTTTCGTTCTATGTATCATTCACTAGCATACTCTTTTTTGTTCCGAAAATATTGTAATTTAAACATAATATTTTGCACTGTATTTTCGACCCTAATTCCCTGTTTCCGGCATAACTGTATTTTTCCAAATTATTGTACGTCGTAGTCAAGATATTAACTTATTTATTCATGTACATTTTTGTACTAATCCGAATTCAGAGAATCCAGAGTTCAGTGTTCCAACTGTCTTGTCTTCTCTCACTTGCGTGCTTGCCAACCAATCAGGTTCTAGAATAGTTATCTCTCTACCCCATCTCGAACTCACGCGTGATAGACTCAATGTTGAGCCGCTTACCTTATCGCGTCAAGGCCATAGTTTAGTCTAGACAGATCAAGGTGAAGTCATAACAAGTATCACGGGGTAAAAACGATTCAAGGTCATAACAATGATCTGTCATAATGATGAAATCGCGACCCTGTAGCAAAAAGTTGAAATATTTTACTGCTAAATACATAGCTAAGAGTTCGCGTCCAAAAGTGCTATAACGTTCCTGTGCTGGCGATAATCTCTTGGAGAAAAAGGCGATGAGGGTAATCGTGTTGTTTACCCGCTGTTGTAATACTGCCCCGATGGCTTTTTGTGAAGCATTTGTGCATAGGATCAACAGTGTTGTGGGGTCAGAATTGAGGTGTTGTAACATGGTGGCGTTGGCTATCAAGGACTTTGCTTTTTCGAATGCCATTTTGTCATCAGGCGGTAGCTTGAATGTTTGATTCTTTACCTTCCTCGTACCTTTTTTTGTCACTTTTCAGTAAATCAGTTAACGGCTGTGGCACATGCGCACAACATGGTAGGAATCGGCGGTAGAAATTGCACGTCCCGAGAAAACGGTGTAATGACTTTATGGAGGTTGGTTCAGGGTAATTGGTAATAGCTTCAACCTTTTCTGGGAGTGGTTTGATGCCTTGAGAGTCAATGTAATGTCCTAAAAACTCTAAGGCTGGGACGGCGAATATACATTTAGAAGAATTGATAACAACACTATGCTTCTTAAAACGTTCGAAGAAGATCTGAACATGCTGGGCGTGCTCTTCTATTGATGAGCTTGCGATCAAAACGTCGTCTATGTAGGCGAATACGAAGTCTAAACCTCTTGTGACATCATCCATGAATCGTTGGAATGTCTGGGCGTCATTTCTCAATCCAAATGGCATTCTTAGAAACTCAAACAGACCAAAGGGTGTGATGATGGCTGTTTTCTCGATGTCCTCTGGTGCCATCGGAATTTGATGGTATGCACGCACGAGGTCGAGTTTTGAGAAAATGCATTTACCATGTAAGTTTAACGAGAAGTCATGTATATGTGGGATAGGATACCTATTAGGGATGATTTGATTATTCAGACGGCGGTAGTCGCCACACGGACGCCAATCTTGGTCTTTCTTGGGTAACATGTGTAACGGCGAGGCCAAGGACTATTAGATGGTCTGATGATACCAAGTTGCATCATGTGTTCAAATTCTCTCTTAGCTGTCTCAACTTGGTTGGTGGTAATCTCCTCGCTCTGGCGCGAATTAGTGGTCCGGTGGTAGTGATACGGTATTGCACCAGCTGTGGGTTACCTTCCTTTTGATAATCTGATTTCGTAATGCACTGGTATTCTGTTAGAATGTCGTTGAAAATGTTGTTCACAGGTTTCATTATTCGAACACCATGGATTTCGTTGTCGTTGGAGAGTGTACCATTTACCTGTAAACGTGTGTTTACATCGATTAATCTCTTGTTGGTCATATCTACTAACAAGTTGTACGCACTAAGGAAATCGGCCCCGAGGATGGGTCGTTTGACTTGAGCAACTCTGAATACCCATGTGAATCTTCTGCGGAGCCCAAGGTCTAATATAAGAGATTGCTGATTCGTTAGCCGCTATTAGGGACAGTTTAGCGCTTGTTGTCTGCGGGAGAGATGGAGTGGGATGATGCTGATTTCTGCTCCAGTATCGACAGTATCGCCACTTCGTTTCCCTGATAGTTTGGGTTGTTTGTCTTAAAGTTGCACGGTTTAGTTCAACGGCGTTCTTTCTTACCATAATTCGAATGATACCAACAAATTCCGGCTGCCCGTTTAGGTGACCTAACACGATGTCTGGATACTGATCTCCTTCTGGACGTAGATCTGGCAGGTTGAGAATGGATGGTGGAAATAGTCGCCTGCAGTGATGCTAGCTGCTGTGTTATTTGTTGTTGGATGTTGAGTGCGTCGCTCATGTTTTCTCTACTTGAGGATTGTATCGCGTTAACGCCGCGACTATCGGGATATATTTCTATCAACTTATCGGCCATGTCTGACAGAGGCTCCTGATATGCTGAGGATTTGTCTGACGCTATGTGGTAACCTTTTTGACCACATCTGCTTAAGTAATGCTTCGTCTAACTTGTATGAGCCTGCTAGTTGTCTCATATGTCTAAGCAACTGTGAAGGTCTTTTGTCCCCTAACTCGCATGCGGTGAGTAGTTGCTGTAAGCGTTTTTCGTCAGACTGCGAAGTACGGTGGATTACTTTTATTTTGTCATAAGGGTCCGTTTCTGGTACGTTATCTATCAGGTCTCCGACTTCTGCTGCCACGTCTATGGGTAATGCTCCAACGACGTATGTATATTTTGTCGCTTGCGAGCGTATACCTCTCGACAAAAATAATGCCTCAACCTGTGCAAACCAGATCCTGGGATTATTAACACGGTACGTTGGTAATTTTAGTTCAGAAATAGCGTTGATTGAGTTTAAAACATTATCTTCTGGCTGTAATGAATAAAAGGGGTTGGTTGATGGACTATCTATATCAATAAGTTTATTAGGAGAGTTCATAATGCCAAAAACAAAAATGATGTGTCGTGCTAATTAATAATAATAAATAAATAAATATGTAGATATATATAATAGATGTCCATAAAAAAAATCGAGGCTCACCAAATAATTGTGGTGGACCAAAAAGTATAATAACCAAAAATTAGCGATAAAGTTATTACGTCCAAAAGTTAATGTAACAATACCAATTTATAGATTAGCAACACAAAATAAAAGTTCAGGGACGTTACTTAAATCAACTAGTTGTTGCGTGTTCCGTTGAGCTTTGGTCCCAAAAATCCACAATTATAAATGAGTAATAACTCCATTGAGATAAATATGTAGTCCACCATATACAGTGCAGCTTGAGCAGTAAAACTGCCTGACGTTATGAACTGAAGATTAAAAGTTGATTTAGCTATGATTTATTGAACGTTAGGTCGCTCTGTCAGTATTCTCAAGGTCAATGTTCGAGAACAGAAGCAAACCACTCAGTCTTCTAACAATCACCAAAACGAAAGGTGTAGAAACGAGTAGATAGGATACAAGTTTTTGTTAACGATTAGAATTCCCAATCACTTGATGATAGTAATAACTGCTCAGCAGCTGAATTTAGAAAATAATGTTCAAAAAGCAATAGCAAACAAGAACAATGTCAACACTTCTATTTAATATTTTCCCTACCGCTACGATATAGGTAAACACCAGAGATAGAAATTCATTTGATCGAAATAAACCAAAATGGTTAAATGAACCCTAGAGGTAGGAACTCCTAAACTAACTAACTAAAGCAGTAGTTCCAACATTGCAACTCCTTCGATGCTAGGACATGACTTTGGACCAGATATACTTTCTCGTTTTCTCCCAATCCGATCAGGATGGGTCAAAGGAAACAACAGGAGTGTTTGAAAACCAAGAAAAACGAAATACCACAGAGATACAAGCTTTCTCACTAAACAGTGAAATCTTAGGGACTACCACCGAAAGAAATGTCCAGACGTTCATATGTTCAATTCAACAGAGGAATAAACTCACGCAGAAGATTCCAAGATAAAGATTAAAATAGGCCATCTCTGTCTTGATCCTAACACAAATTTCTGAGTCTAATCTGGATCTGAAATTTTGACATTACGGAATTGCAGTAACCAAGTTTCTACGTAACATATCAGAAAACTCTTGAATGGTCAAACATGAAACTTACAGTCTGTGTTTTAATTTTTTTGACTTAAGGATGTATAGTCAATTCTCATTGACCAGAAGTCCACAGGTTACATCCAAAGAGTTGTTATCTCTGATCTGAAAACTATAGCAATAACAGATAGGGAGATTCTACCCAATAATCTTACAAATGGAAACTTAAGTGGATTTGATCACAACGCTGAAATGTAGTGACGTTGAATCCCCAACTGGAACAATGGGCTTGATACTCCCAGTGTCAATAATGTAGCCATGAAAGGAACTAGTAAATGTATCTAATCGCTTGTAAATATGAAATGAATTGTTTGAGGTAGATCACAACAAAAGCATATGTTTGTTATCAGTATTACCTTTATTTATGGAATTCGAACAATCATAACACACAATGAAATGAATAGTTTGCCGTCCAGTCTTACTGTGACTAATCTTGACGCATCTGATGCACTTGACATGACAAAATGAGCATGGTTTCGGCAGGTGAAATCTTTCACGTAGTAAACACTTACCAAGCTCCGACTCACCTTTATTTACAATTTTAAAATTCTTCACTGGAATGTTACTTGTATTTTGATGAGAGTTAGCATCGTTACCAACTAAACATGGATTTATACGCTATTGAGAAGAACGTGATTTCGACAACTGAGAAATGTATTACAAAATTATCTTGGTTACAATTCAATTTCAATCAACGCTTCATAAACAATAGGTGGTTTTAAAATCAATACTATGGGCTCGAACGTTCTGAAATGATGATTTTGGTGACTTTATCAGTTCTCATCCTAGATTCAAAATAACAGTTTCGACAGTAAAATCTTTACTCAGTTGGACATGAAGCTGAGGGAATAGGTCTGATAGAATAGACAATAGAATAGGCTTTTCTGGGAAAGCCAGATTTTGTAGAAGACTAAAGACATCGTTGTCGACGGATGTGAGGAAACAAGATGTAATTTTGTCCTTGACACATTTTCTCGCCGTACACGAAACTCTACATCGACCCGTATGGTGTTCAAAAACCACCACTTACGTTTATATTTCGTAGTTCAATAAAAGGGTTTTGCTCTATATTACCAAAAACTTCCCATTGGTTGCAGAGAACAAGAAATATTGTTCAGTTACTGATTTTTAAAAGAAATTTGTCATTCGTTTGTATAAGTAATCGATCAAACTTTTGTTCCTCATGTTGATTAATATTCTTAGTAGGACCTCACTTATAAATCAGATGCCATTCTGAATTATCAGTTTTCCTAAACGATCATTGAATAAGAGAAAGAGTCAATCTTAATATTTTGTCACAATACTTTCATAATAAACATTTCATTTGACAAAATGGTTGTTTGTAGTTATTTGAACGTCAAATGAAATGCTCCTCGAATTACGGTCATTTGATTTACTAGCCATATGTATAAACCTGAATGTTAGACTTCCGTTCGTTCTAAAAATTAGCAAAAATGGCATTATTCATTCTGCGAACACCATTCATGTACACGATTTAGTTACATAAATTGTCAGTCATTTACTTAACACCTCACAGGCAATGACTGTGTTCAATGAGACCGAGTACCGGCTTCCTAAATGCTTGTTGTTGATAACACAATCTCATCTACTGAAGTCACTGTTTGAGCCCTTTATGTGTTGTAGATTGATGGCTGTTATAAATAAGCATTATTTAGACACAAGAAGGACAGAGCATTTGTCACCAATTTACCATTCTAAACAGTATAGCGTCCTTGTTTTCAGACAGCAATATTATGAACTATCTTATTGTTCTTGTCTGTATGAATAACAGAGTTGTTAGGTGCTCTATTGAGCTTTTCTTTAAGTGCTGCCAAGCTGTAAATGTTGTCACTTTTTATTGGCTACTGTTTGTCGAAAAGCGTTATCAAAATGAGATCAAATGAATCAATAATTTGTTAGGTTTTGATGTATATATACATCTTTAAGACTATTGTTTTTTTGCTATCTAATACTATAATACCATGAAAGTATTTCGCTTAAAGAGGGGAAGTTCACCTTTTAAATCGAGGGGTTTTGTTATTACAATTACTGGTTTACTTATCACTGTATTTATCTATTTGTTATCCATGACAGTGCTAACAAAAGATATAAAAAATACTCAAAATCTTCAGAAAGTAACAAAAGTTAGTTTATTTACTTTTTATTTCGATGTCTTTTTAAACGTAAATTTTTTCGCATTCGTACTATAATTTCGGTAGTTTTGAAGGTTTAATAGACAACATCCAACTGGAACAGTAATAAGTGCTTTTTGGAATTTCTAGATGAAATGCAGCTGTATTCAGTCACATTATGGTTAATGAATCGGTAGGCAGGAAACAGTGAACCTATTATACACATATAACCATGTTTGTAATTTAAGTGAAAGAATTTATGTGGTAAAGTTATTTAAATAGTAGGAATTTGATTCTGGTGAGTTACTTTCTTATAAGCTACGTGGAGATTGAAAAATTGATTTTAGAACGTAAAATAGTAAAGGTCAGTAATTACTTAACAGCTCATGTGTTCTTCAGTATGAGATGAGGTAAGAAGTGAGTTGATGATATTCAGACTTGCTAAACGATATACCCCGATAACTATGTGTTTCAGCTTTTGAAGTAGTTTATGGATTTCTGATCACCTTTCCAAACATATAAATAATAATACTTTACTAAATACTGGTTTGCTTCTGTTTTTAGAACTACTTTCATGTTTATGAGTATACAGATGAGGTCTTTGCAATCTCAGAAAACACAACACGGTCAAATATAGTTAGAAATAAATATTTAGTAAATCATCGTCACTGTACCCAATATTACTGCAGAATAGGTGGTACCACTCTCTAGACAATAAATACACTGTTTATAAACTCATGCTTCAGAAGAGTTGAATTTAAATGAACTAATCTCGAAGTAGTCATATTTTACATAAATTACGGGATACAAAATCTAAGTTATAGTTTGGTTGGTGTTGACATAATTAAAGCTATTCACAGCTGTTCATCTATAAACAATACTCAGTTTCTCAAGTTTAAGAAAAGATAAAATACAACGTTTTGCGAGTCTTATTCCTATGCTTATTTCATTTTTATTTATCGTATCCTATCACTATTTTTATCATTATTATTTTCAGAATAATAAAATTCATATAGTTTCACTGATTGAAAGTGATAAAGACTTCAATTATATAAATGTACTGATCAAATCTATACTGTATCACCAAAAACGTTTTCATTGTCAAAATAACAAATGTTGTCTAAGTGACTTGTGCAAACGAAGCAAGACTGGAAACTTTCCATGTTCACATAAGAAAATACTGAAGACTAATGGTCCAATAACTTTCCATTTTATTACTGATAAATCCACACAACTGAAATTTCAAAAAATGGAACAAAGTTGGCAATTGATAAATGTGAAATTTCAATTTTACGAATACCAACATTATTTGGTTTGTTCGTTTGTTATCATTATTTTGTTGTTTTTTGTTTGCTTACAAGTTATACCACTTGGTGAAGCGTATTAAAAGATACTTCACGCACAACTCAAATGATTACTATCACACGATTTTTTTTTTCATTATAATTACTATATCCAATTGTGTGATGTAAGAATGTTGGATATTATAATCCAATGATCAACACTTCAGTTGTTTATAATGTATTGAGTTGAGGTAAACATGCCCATTGAAAGTGCTCATATCCCTTTCTTATCTGAGAAAATTGATAGTAAGACTAGGTTCTATTACGTAGAGACTGTTAATTTTCACGTAAATTTGTCTAATACTTTATTGAGTCTTCGTAAGTTTACATTGTTAAATGTAGAAAAGAATGAAACCAGTTCAATGTTTGAAAGAAAACTATTACTTAAAAGTACCATAAAGCCATGAGAATAGAAAAATGTCTCCTAATATTTTAAGGCACTATGATAATAAACTTATACCAATACTCAACTATTTTTTTAGACCTATGTGTTAGGAGTTCGAGGTTGTGACACAGACAGAAAAATGTCCTTTTTAATGCAGATGCTTTGTTGTTACTTAACTATAAAAAGTGTACATAATGATCAAGGGTTTTAAAGTTAAATCGTATATTCATTATAAAAGCATACCCCGTAAGAACACTGGAACCAGTACAATGAATCTGTAATGATGTTTTTATTTATATACTCACCCGTTACTAATCCGCTTTTCTTCTTTCAGGATAAAATTAAGTGGGTTCTATCAAAACGTTCTTCAGATATTAAATCTTGTTTAAAATTATTATTACCCGAAATTCTACCGAAAAGTGTCAAACAGGTAGTGTCGTATTGATGTTAATGTTTTTAAAATGTTATAAATGGTTTTTAAGAAAAATATGAAAGGATATTGATAAGTATTTTGATAGGTAATCATTCATTTACTTAACCATGATAAAATTCAGAACATTTCGAACAGCCCTTAGTAAATCGTTAAAATAAATTTCGAATTCCGAACAACTACTGTAATTTCTTCTGACGAGGATAATAGTGTTTTAACTTACGTTATTCTATTTCTTCTGTTAGCGAGTAGATCGGATTAAATGAATTTGTTTGCTTATAAACCACCATTTTGGCAATTATGCAAAACAATTATTAAGTTTCATACACATAGTTCCCTTTATTATCTTAAATAGAGCAAGAACAAAGATTGGTGCAGAATAATATGAATTCATTTTATTTCGTTAGGTTCTCATCAGCTGCTTACAACCTAAAATATTTAAAATTCAAGATTATTACGGATATTGACATACTTATACATAAGAGTGTGATTAAGGATGAATACATGTGTATGATGATGTAGAAAATATTCAGATAGAGTTAATGAGCTCATAAAATGTTTGATTCGAATAAATAAATAAAGTTAGAGAAAGAAAGTTCCAGAACATTGAAATAGTGATTAGAACTCATTAGATGATTGTGTAATGGAGCAGCTGAAAGTAAATTAATGGTAATAAAGAAACATATGAATTAAAACCAGTCAGCTATGAACTGAAGAAAAATGACAATGATGTGATTTAACTTGAGAAAGTGTTGAAATAATGAATGACGTAATAAATAAAATGAGGGTTTAATGTTACGAAGGCAAAGGAAGATTTATTACTGCCTCCTTTCGAATACATGGATCTGGTTTTAGATATTTGATTGCTATTGCTTCGGCAAATTTCAAAAGGTTGGAGTTTGATTGTTTGTTAATCACCTTGAAGGACTTCAGTGTATCGACTTCATGTCCTGTGTCAAGAAGATGTCTTGCGATGGACACATATCTAAAACAAAATGTTCTTTAACACAAAGGTCTATGGGTATCCCTTTCATGTTACCACCAACTGTGTATACAAATTTACATGTATCTGCTAAATCAGTTACATTGGTAGAACAGCCGATTCAAAGAACATATTAATGGATTAAAAGCATTCAGCAGTGCCATCGAAAGATATCTCATTGACACAGGACATAATGTCGATACACTGAAGTCCTTCAGGGTAATTAACAAACAATCAAACTCTAACCTTTTGAAATTTGTCGAGGCGATAGCAATCAAATGTCTAAAACCCGATCTATGTATCCAAAAGGAGACCTAACGAAATAAAATGAATTCATATTATTCTTCACCAATCTTCGTTCTTGCTCTTTTTAAGATAATTATTAAGTTCGTTTCGGTCAGTAATGTCTTTTATCCAATTGCTTTAATGCAAATATAACCAATCGCTATCTGAACAAACTTCAGTTTCAGTCATAAGAAGTCATGTTTCATACGAATAACTTGGTTGTATTCTGTTTAGTACAGTAACAAAAGTACGATAATATGTATGAATCAAAGGTGAGAGATGAAGTGGTTGCTATTTTATACTGTAGATATTACAATTCACTATAAGCAGTTAACAGTAAACAAACTCTTTAATAAAATTACATGTCCTTATTGGGATGAATTATTAAAAAATAGTGAAGTTTAGGATTTACTTATTATACTTCATTTCTCAGGCGAACTTCATTGGGAGCAAAATGTATTTTGAAGATCCTCATCTAGTGAGTTCGTAGTTTTAGGGATCACTTTTATTGCAGAAAATTGCTTAACTAATTTCTGCTTGGAGGAATGTCAACTAGCTGGAGGACATTCAAAACATATATATGAGCAGATAAGTTTCGTGGAATATTAGGATCTTTTTTCATATTTGTTAATAAGTATATATCTACTCTGAATTATGATAAATTTAATTGGGAAGATTAAAATGAAATTTCACCAAAATCATGAGGCGATCTAAGTTAGACCACTGTCGCAAACCTAAAAGCAGTGGACGGCCGTTTTGTCCTGGTATAGGATTTCTCAGTAGTGCGCTTCCACGATCCTGCATGCGGGAATCAAACACGGTACCTCTAATCTTGCGCGCAAACGCCTCAACTCTAGACCACTGACTCTGTACCCACCGGTGTACAAGTCTAATTTTAATCAATCTACGAAATGACGCGACCATTCATCATTGTTTTCTGTGTGTAACTGCTTCATATCTGACGCGGCTTAGCTCTAAAGACAACGGCTACTTACTATAATTCTGGAAATTCCCTCTCAAAACTGGTCACTAGTGAGCATATGATAATTGTCAGTAAGGGGTTGTTGAGATTGTTGAACTTGAGGAGTTACATACTAAGACGAAACGACCGTCCGGTGCTTCCAGGTTCTCAATGGCGGTCTAGCTTAGATAGCCTTATTATTTCAATGAAATTCAACAATTTCCACAACCTATTACTGATAAAAGAATATTCCTCATGACGTTTGATTTCCATATAATTCTTAAAACCGCCATGATAGCTAAATCAAAAAATAAATGCATGCTTTATTTCATTGTTGATAGTAGATTACTGTTGACTTAATTATCTGCCCCTTGACGTCAATTTTGACCTGTATAATTGATATACCTATTTTCATATATCATTCTCATATATTGGTTATAAATCTAGAATATTTCAGGGCTTTGTTCTAAATTCAAATATGATATCGTCAACACACTTCACATATATCACTAGCTGCACGTAATTTTTCGTTCCTAAATGTAACATAGAACTTTTAAAGAACACATACAACATTTGTTATGCACAATTGCTGAACACAACTGTTCACTTCGTGGATTGTTTAAAAAGAATTTTGACTGAAGAACAGAATAGCATAAATTGGAAAAATGTTACGTTACAGCTCACTAACTTGCCTCTATAATCGTTTGAAATATTATCCAGACAAGTAGATATCGTATCTAATCAAATATGCTCCCATTTACAAATCTGAATTTGAAAGTAAATAGATTTGAGATTACGTGCCTATAACTATTTTCATAAGAAAATGAATAATAGAATGTTCATGCAATTGTGTAAACCATAATTGCAATCTAACAAAACATTACCTAAGTGACATGTTAATTAGATAACTTTTCATTAAGAATTCACAGCGAAAATTTGTATGCGTATCCACTGTTTAACAAATATCGCTCAGTTCCAGATGTTTTCAGTTAACTCGATTCAAATAAAGATTAAAGTGGAGATTCTTAATGCTATTCAGACCCAAGATATCGCTGTCAACGAAGATTATCTAACATAATAGTTGATATAAAAAATAAAACCTTAGCACCAGAGTCAGTGAAATGTACTTTTCAAACACAAATCTCCCTGGTAATTCATTTTATAGCAACTGTTTTTGTCACAATACTTCTTCATTTCCTTTCTAGTTTCAGTAATCAAATTTTAATTGATTACGTTAAAATATCTCTTCAACAAGTACAATGAGACTTGAAAACTAGTATCTAAAGCAAAATTGCCAGCAAATAACTTCATGCGCTTTAATGAAAAGGTCCATTCACCATGCTAACTACATACATAGCCCCATTAGCATGATTTTATTCACATAAATATTTTAGAGTTGAGAATTATAATGTTGGATTTTTACTCATTTAATAAAAATAATGACCATCCGTTATTTTATTTGCATGAAATCGAATCAAAGAAACAACTGATGAAAAGTAGCTCATTAAGCTGAGAATTTAGCGAACCGAAACCATCTTTCAGATTCTATATTTAAAAGACTGTTACTAACAGTAACATCGAAAGATAACATTACCTTTCTGTATCGTATATTCTCCTATTTACAAATTATTTTGAAGAAATATTCAACCCCACTAATAATGAATTTGTTAATTATCATATCATAATCAACTTTGGTAAATTTGGAAGCTGAGCCTATTTTTGTTGAATTATTTCAGGTCATCGTTCTTGATACATGTTTGTTGTTAAATACAGACATCAATGAATTGTGGGATCATTTCAGATATTTTAAATCTTCTCAAGTAGGTCCTTGTGTGATTTTATAAAGGTCTTACCATATAGTTAGCACTTACTAAAGGGTTGTTTGCTTGTTTGATAGAAACACATAAATACTGGTACAAGGGGGCACCAGATACATATGCGCCACACAAATCTCATTTGATTTGTGTGAGGGCTGTGATACTGCCCAGGTACCCCAACCGAAACAGGTGGTTTCCTTGGGTGGCCACATCCGGAGCCTTCGACCTGAAGGTCTGATCCACAAGGTAGTGGAGCATCGTAAGGAGATGCAGTCCTATGGTAGCCGGTGACCAACGACTGGTTCCTACACCATTTGTTCCTTCAGGATAATGGAGCTCATGTGCACCACTGGTTTGAAATCAGGGTTTTCCAACTCCAATAGGTGGACTCTCCGTGTCCACCAACACAGTTAAAGCGCCGGACATTGGCTTTTCGTCCTCTCAACTCCATAAACAACAGCTCGCCACGAGAAGGCAGTGAGTATGACTTCCCTGGCAGAGGCTATATACACGTGGCCATGTGAGAGCATTTCGAGAGGAAGAGCGGACTCTCCTCACTCTCAGCCGTACTAGGGCATTCGGGGGCAGTTACTAGAGGGTAATAGTCAAGAAACGACTACCTTGCGGACATTCGCACCTAAAAATATCGGTTTATGAAGATTATTGTAAACAGTAGTTTACTTTCACTAGATGTAAATGTTTTTTTCGCTTTTATGTATTTTGAAGTTACATTTAGTTCTATACTTCTTACCTAGTTCAGTAGCTGCATTCTTTCATTCTTATATTTAGGACGCTTATAGTTCCACAACATACTTAAAAAGATAGTGGATATGAACATGTGTTGAATCCTACTGAAACAAGTTAACTAATTACCATCTGAGTTACCCTATGGCTGAGAAACTATTCAGAATTATGTAAAGATCTTACAAATCAATAGTTGTTAAGGTATCGTTTAGGGACGTACTACTAATGTTAAATCAACTTCGCTTGCTTCAACCTTACTATTATAGCCTATCAAACAATAACCGTCGTTTTATAAGTATCTATGGATATTTGACACACCCAGAAATGTTCGTTCTTAATTAGAAAACGCCATAGAAAAATTAATATATACTACATTAGTGCTTCAGATAATACGAGAAATGAAACGAAGTACTTTTTAAAGTTGACTCAAAATGTTTGTTTCTTCAACACCATATAGTAAATTGTTCAAAAAAGGTAATAAAGCAATTTCTTACTGATCATTTATCTATTAATGAAGGTGAAATTATGGAAAAGACTACACCGGGAAATATGTTGGTCTAGTGAACTGAGTAATATAAGCAATCTTCCTTACTACGGTAAATAGACTATTGTCTTCATCATCAAATAATCTGTAATAAAAGTGACAAAAATTGCCTAGAAATATCAAATCACAACCTATTAGGTAATCTGTAACTCATTAGATGTAAAATCTTTGGATTGATTTACCATCGATAAATTAGAAGAATTCTCTGTTAATCAGTGTCCTTTTCAATAAATACTTTTTCATGATATAACCTGTCTTTAGGGATGACATATATTCCGTTTCCCCAAAAAATTAAGCACGAGAATGAATAAAGATATAATTTATATTAAGTCACTAACAACTCTTTCTTTTGCAGATGTTAGGAGTGACAATGGAACAAAATCCCGAGTTTGAAGTTGTCATGAAGAGTCTAATTAAAGGCTGGAGAGTAAGTAAAAACAAAAGACTTTTAATTGTAGTGGAGAATTTGTACTTACTATTATTCACAGTAAGATTATTTAGAATCCACTGATTCCAATCTAGTTAATTTTTTCCGTGATAGTGTAAAGTATGCATATATAAGCATATTTGATTTAATCAATTAGAAACATTTGTGCAATTTAATATGTCAAGGGAGACGAACACCACAAGTTTGGGTTTCAAGGAGACATAAAATGTTACATTTCTCCACAAATGTTTTAAAAGTTGGAAGTACCAAGCACCTGAATCCGTTTAGCAATTCCACCATAATTCCTCGATCAATTACCCAGTCGACTGTATCTTTCAATACAATAGCAACACCTCCAGTAGTGTAAGATAATTTAAAGAATATCCTTAGTATGAAATTTAATCATGTGTATAAACACTAGTTCATTTTCTGTAGAGTGGCAAGCTTTATATTTTGTGTATATCAGTTTGTGGAATTCGATGATGATAAAGTATCAACTGTACACACTTGATTTTCCATAAGTAGTACAATAAATCCACAGTTCTGAACAAACCACTACTGTTTCTAATTAAAAAAATATAAATAAGTTCTATAAGTCAGTATTGTAAAATGTGACTTCGTAAAAGTGATAAAAGTATTCCAATGTTATATTAGCTATAACTTTTCACAGTAGATTGGATCAGTAAATAGATCCACATAGATCGCATAAAACTCCTAATACTCCTGACAGGCTAATTAAGGCATTAACGAAGTGAATGATCATACAGAAATGAAATGGGATAACTAAATTACCCTTAACGCTTTTAATGTTATCTAAAACTGAAGTTTGCATGAGCCTACTCAAAGCGTTCAAATAACTGAGTATCAATTTTACATTATTATTAAGTCTAGAAGTTTTCCAATTTTAAAATACCCCATAACTTAAAGAAGAGCTTCGAACTATCGATATGTTGATAAAGAAATTGTGTCCTTTTTTGTACTAATTATCAAAAGTATTTGTGAATACTTAATAGAATCAAATTTACTTCACGTAAATACCAGAGGACTTAAATCTTAGCTGAACTAACGTTTCTGAACATCCTTAAGATTGATTAGGGTCTCTTAATTACCAACACTGTCCAAGTCAGAAGAACTAGTAAACAATAGATGAATTTGTACAGTACCTCACTGCATATAGTAGTGATCCAACTAGGTTATTCGTGGTACTAATTTCGTTCAGACCTAAGATTAACTACACATCCACTTACCATAGCCACTTTCATAATAGTGTTTGTCAGTTGTGGCTATCGTAAATTAATTAAAGTTGAACAGACTCATTGTTCACAAAATGTAAACAGTTTAAAAAATCCATTTTTAAAGCTTATGTTCTAGTGAATCCAAATTATTGATGGTTAGATAGTTTACTACAAACGTGCATCACATACATCTCAGTTATTGATGCTCAAATCCAAATCAAATAAAAGACAGCGTGAACTCGAACCCATTATAATCCTTTTTTTCGAGATTATTGATTGGTCTTGTTGGTAATTGTTCATAATCTTGAGACAAACTTTCATCACAACTACTTTTAAACGAATACATTAAACTGATATTATTGCCTCACAACTTGGTATGGTTGTAATTATGCATCTTTTGATTATATTACAATGATCAACAATTATATTGTTGTAAGCAATGATGGATAGTGGCTAGCAGTGGAATCCAAGACGCGCGTTTCATCCATTTTGGGACTCGTCAGCTGGATGCACTTGCATTTCAGAGTTGGTGCTCGCTCTGGGATTCGAGCCCAGTACTAAACGCTTCAGCCACTGAGTCCTGATAGCCACTTGTTTGTGCAATGGGACAAATTTAAATTCATTTGGTATTGTTTGGCTTGTATCTTCCCATTGAGGTTTAAGACTGCGATCGCTCAGTCTGTCGCTGGCATATGTGCATGATGTGCGGACTGCCTCGATATTGTCTTAATTTACAAGCTTTTTGTAAGCAATGATGGATAGTGGCTAGCAGTGGAATCCAGGACGCGCGTTTCGTCCTATTTGGGACGAGCTTACCAAGTGAATTATATTGTAGGTTAAAACTAACATCAAATGATTCATTTGTGTACAAAACAATTGCTAGAAATACCTGATTCATAGAATATTTTCACTCAGTTTCATCGATCATTCACTCTAAAACTTCTGTAATACAAAAACGTTTATAAATATAAGAATATCTGTGTGTAGCATTGATAGCGATTAATGGTTAGATACATTTGAGCATCTTTTTAACTAAAAAAATTTGATATTTTAAACTGCTTCTTTTACTAGTGAATTAATCGTAGTATTTTTGACAACCTTAAATACCGAGAATATTATGATAGAGTATGAGATAAACTAGATACAGTACTGTGTTTAACTAATTTTGTCATTCATGTATCTAAATTACACTAGTGATCATTCTGTCAAACATTCCATTGATAATTATGCGTGCACAACAATTTTTAAAATTAAACTGAAACAACAGACCTATTGTCGAATAATCATGACAACAGTGATTTATTTTGACAAATATATGCTTCCAGAATAACTCCGCTCAAAAACCTAACTGATATTTTTCCAAATGAAATTGACATATCAATAATATCATGTAAATAATAGTTTTGTGAATGAGGAGTTAGCATATTCAAAATGAAAGCCTTGACAGTCAATGAGATACTATTTAGTACTCTTTCAGTTCTCATTGTTTTTCATTATTAATTAAGGTCAACTGAAAAACTACTCAGAACAAGTAACCAAGAGATAGATATTCTGTGTTATGCTAGATAAATCATCAAGGGATAACTGGAGAAATAATAGAACCTTAGCTAACAATCAATTTATTCAATATTATCTTGGTTGACGATGACTGACTGACTGAAATTCTAAATGATTAGGTTTCGGAAATGAACTTAAGATTAAAATCAATAAATACGTGAATTCACGTTTTAGTGATTATCCATGTACATAACATTAGATCTTTTGTGATGATTAGAAGTATTTAAATTATTGTACGAATTAGGAATTCCATAAATAACGCAAGTTAACCCAGAAGAATTATATGAGCACAAACGAACGTATTGTATTTGAAATTCGAAACCAAGCACTCGTCAAGTACTAAGGAATTATTAGTTCATACAAACACCACATACAGCTATTGATTATGAAACCTACTCACACTGATTAAAATATAAAATGCACTTCTATTCATAGTTAGTTTGTGTTCCCTTACCTAAGTAATAACCTTGTTTTATAAATGTTATGTGATTAGTCTACGTAATTTCTAATTACGAACGATTCAGATTCTTCTTATACGAACGGAACTAATGCCAACTCGGCAGGTGGAGGACTAATACACAAAACTTCAACAATAATCCAGGATTTTATGGAACACAGGAAAAATTTAGGAGTTCATGTAAAAATTGCTATTCAAAAGGAAGACAAATAGAGTGTTGAACAAATGTGTATATGTAACAACAAACATGATCTAAAGACACAGTAAAATTAGCAAACAAAATGTAAAAACAATCACTCAAATAATAATAAAGGTTGTAAGAAAATATCCATTAGAACAACTGTTATGACGGTTATTGTCACTGGAAGGAATTAACGTTTATTTGCAAAAAGTTAGATAAACTTAGATCGCTCTAGTAGCAAAACTGTTCCAACTTAATAATAATCAGTTTCAAATTTGTTCACAGTTAATAGTACTAATGATTTGAATTAGAACGCTTGTTGAAATAAGATTTTAATGATTAAGGTCAAAACAAGAGAACAATTCCAAAATAATAATTAGGCGGAATTCAACCACTTATTCTAACCCATTCCATGTATATTGGTTATTTGTGGATAGTTTTCATTACGAACTGATTTCATCTTGAAAATCATTGAGAACTAGGCACAGTTTAAAAAATGTTTTGTCTTAGTTCAGGGTTCCTCTGTAGTTCACACATGAATTCTGTTAGGAGACAGACCCAAAACATTTAGTTTTTGGACCAGCCACGTTACATTTAAACCTCTAAATTTTTCATATATCAAGGTTTAGCCGATTTCTGGTTGATGACATTGACATTAGCATTTAAGTATTCCACACTTGACATGGTTGAACTCTCCTACACACGACATTTCACCAGAACATCGGGATTCACTATCGAACCCAGTCACTACTGGGCATTTTACCATCATTATCAAGGTGGGTCATTTCTTCAGACTGGTTCAGTTTAAATAGTTTTCGCCACAGACTGTAATTAAAGGAATAATTATATTCTTTATTTTCTTCGCCACTTGTCACTGATGAAAATAAACGAGACAGATGTACACTAGTGTTAAAATATCATTTCCAAGATCAAAATGCTCTTTGTAATTTACAATGCTCTTAAGGTACCTAACCACACGATGGATTGTTACTAGGCTATTAACAGTTTATGCAATGAAAATAAGCTATCTTCTTGAATATTTACTATCAGTTTCCAAGCATTACTTCCAATTTTACAACCTAATTTTTTTTATCAACGATCAATATGGTCCTCATTACAGGTTGGTAGTACTAAAAAACTATTTAGAATCAGGGTATATCATGTATTTTTTTCATATTTTAGTACAACGTTTGGTAATAAGTATTCCCACGGATTTCCTAACACTGTTTCATCAACATCATGCTTTTTATTTCAGGGTTATGGATATAATAGCGGAGTTGTTTTAATGGACTTAGCTAAACTACGTTCAGCAGTATGGAACCATTTATGGATGAGTGCTATTAAATTTGTTATGAAGGCAACGCGTTATTTGTCAGCTGGGGAACAAGTAAGCGGTTATCTTTTTTGTTAATCTTTCCGGAAATAAACAAGCTAATTAATTTTCCCATGTGTTTATATCCTCCCCCATCGCATTTCGAAAAGTGACCAACATTTAAATTCAGAAGGCATATTTGTCTTGTTTGGGACCCATTAACTGAATGTTACTGCATTCAAACTTTGATGTTTGCTTTCGAGTTTGTTTGGTCTAGTCATCGTTTCGAATTGAAATAATAAAATGTTCTGAAATTACAAAATAAGTACGATTAAAATAATAATAACTATACTAGGTTGGTAGATATTATTTGAAATTGCTAATTGATACTATCTACTATTCTACAATGACTGCTGAAAAGTTGTTTGGTATCATATACTCTAAGTAATACTTGATAAGTGGAGGCGGTTTAAGGCAAGCTGCTTAGATTACTTTCCTGTTAATCAGTTTTCATTAACAAGATAAACTTCAGCATTTAAAAATTTATACTTTGTAAAGGGATTCAAACTAGATACATTCAGATCCACAACGAAGAGAATTAACAAGAGATGTTTATGTGTAGACTACCATCTGTAAGACTAGACTAAATACATTGGAGATAAAAAACTAACTTCAAACTCTGCAAGTGATCAAACTTACGTCTCAAGTAAGTATTTCACAACAATATTTATGTTCATTAATCCAACCTATTGCTTCATAATTATGGAACAAAATTCATCTCCATTTATCTACTAAATAAATCAAATTTTTCATTTAATGAAACCTGATCTTTTTTTAAATAGACTCAATGAATATTTATTAGCTTATATAAATTACGGTTTTTCAAAGTGGATTAGGTGAATAAAGTATGGTATACAGTCTAATCCAACAGTGATAGATAAAATAGGTTTACTTAGAAAGATATAAGGAATCCAGCTTGTACAAACAGCCTTGGTATCTACATCATCGTATTCAATTTATTGTTCGTAAGAGATGCTTCCTTTTCAACTTAGTTAATTATCTGAACAATTCTGGATATTACATATTGACAGAGAATGCTTATTTATAACGTTTGTAAATAGTTATGCAGAATTTCTTAACACTAGGTTGCACAACACCTAACTGGTATAACAGTTATTAATGTAATATATGTCATATCATAACTGTGTATATTTTTATTTTATTCAAGGGTGTTATAAATTTAATCATGTTTAGAAACAATGAGATATTTTACAAAATACCATGTGAATGGAACATACAACTCAGTTCAGGTGTTGATGTACATAGATGTCCAGTTAGTTGGTTGGCTGAAAATTCTCTATTAAACAACAGGGATTTAATGTATGGGAAACAACCTAAAATTGTGTACTTAAACCATCAAGTAAAACCGGAATATCTGAACTTGGAAAATATATTAAATGTTGATACCAATGTATCACTTACGACTTATAATGGTAAGTAACATTAAAATTACTAATGAAGTGCACTATCAGGCGTTGGATACTTTTGTCCAGAGTCTGACAGTAGTCTTTAAAGCATTAATCAAGTACAAAATTTGAATCCATCATATAGATGACATATTTTAAATCAAATACTTTGAACAAATACATCAGGTTTGAGACACCTGTTCGTTGATTTGTATCTTCTTTTGTCTTATGGTCAAAAACTCTTACTTATATCTCCCATTATCTATGACTAGGTTTCGAAAGCTAATTCGCACTTAAAAGGAAAGTTTGATATAAATGAAGTTAATTCTTGCTGAGAGATCTAATAACTGTCCAGAAGGACCATCAGTAATTCCCAATACTCTCTGATTGCTTTTATATAATATTATGTTATAGGCAAAATAATTTCCACCCCATAATCAGCTAGCTCCATCACAACCTATAGGCTAAATTAATCTGAAACAACCCAACACTATTTATGATATTGACAATTAAATCATATGGTTTAATATTTCACAAGTATTCAGAATAGACACTTTAGAAAACTATGTATTATGTAATCATGTTTCAATCAAAATAGAATTTGTAATTAAAAGAAAAAAATTCATTTTATAACCCAGTAGGTCCTGGGTTCCAATCCCGCGGGGTGCAGGATTGTGGATGCGCACTGCTGGGGAGTTCCATACCAGCACGAAATCACCGTCCAGTGCTTTCAGGTTTTCCATGGTGGTCTAGCTTCAATTGACTCATGATTTCAACCAGTGAAATTTATAAGAGATTTATTTATTACGTAAATGATATTCATGATCATATACAATGACATTAAATAATGATTATTTTTATTCAATAAATACAGAGTAACCTGTACCTTATAGATGCTTAATTATAATGTGAATGAGTTGTAAATTCATCAGTTAATGCTTTGGAAATGGTTTGTATCAGTAGCCAAATTTAGTTGTCAGTATGGGGTTGTAGAGATTGTTAAATTTTTATTGTGATAACAAGACGATTCAGGTTAGATATCTAGTGAAAACAAGGAAGCACTATCCGGCCGCTTCGTCCTAGTGTGCGACTCTTCAACAGTGCACACCCACGAATCGAGCTCAGGATCATCAGCCTCGTGAAAAAAAAACAATTAACCTTTAGACTATTGGAACGGGCACTAATAATTCAAAGGTCTAACTTCAACTAATCGGTGATCAAAAAAATTCCATGGATCGAAGCTGAAAGATCAATGTAGAGGTTGTGGATAAGTACTACTGAGGAGTCCCATACTGGGACGAAACAGCCATCAAATGCTTACAGATTTCCAATAGTAGTCTAATTTTGATCGGTTCGTGATTGAAACTAAATCCATTAGTCACCAGAACTGAATATTTATAATATCATACCGTCACTTCAGTCTCAAACTTATAAACAGAAATGCGCAGTTTTTAAGTAAGGACACTTCGATTAAAGGAAAATACCTAAACTTTACTCAGTATAATAAGTGACTATTTAGTTTTCGGCCCACAGTCTACACATTATTACTGAATGTTTAAGACTACAAATGAAATCGCAGACAAGTTTAAACAGCGATTATATCATTAAACATCTACAAACCCATACATGAAATTAGAAAATTTTGTTCCCCAATAGTGTATCATGGAAAAGAGGAACAAATGGTTTTGATTTTAGAAAAGACATCTTACTGTATTAATATCTGACAATATAGAATGTTTTTATTTGTCCATGAAACGTTAAGAACATTCATCATACAAATATGACCTTGGGAAACAAAAACTGTCTTTGACCAAATTCCTTTTAGAACAGATTTAGGTTATTCACAACATTTTAATCGTTTAGAGATCCCCGTCATATTAAATGACTAATATTTGGACGAAGAATATTCTTTTCGATAAATTCTCTTCAGATTCTACAATTATATATCCAAATTAATAATCCGAAAACTGGCCAGGTTAAGGGCAAAGTACATCGTTTAGAGCATGTGAATTGTGGACTGTGTTAAACAAAATACGATAAAATTGTTAATTTTTTGGTTGAGATCATGAACCGATTGATGTTAGACCACCATTGAAAACCTGGAAGCACTGGACGGCCGTTTTCAGTTTTTCGATGGTGGTCTAAAATCAATCGGTTCATGATCTCAATCGAAAACCTAACAATCTCCACAACCCCTAAACTGAAAATTGTTAATGTTGATATGACTCACATAGAATGTTAACTTGAATCTGCGTACATGTTAAGTGAAATTTTAAGATCCATGATCAGAATAAATATGGGTCAGAAAGGGTGAGAGAGAAATAATAGTGCAATTACAATTCGATCAATTAAGACGTTATTATTATTATTATTATTATTATTATTATTATTATTATTATTATTATTATTATTATTATTATTATTATTATTATTCGTATTATTGGTTAAACGTCATTATTAATCGAAGTGAGTGATTCATGTATAGGGGAGATTAATAATGACGTTTAACCAATAATACGAATAATAATAATAATAATAATAATAATAATAATAATAATACAAAGATTTATGAATAAAGATAACAGAGACAATTACATCTGAATACGAAAGGTCATAGCCAAATTAGATCATTTAATAGTTAAGATTACGATTGATTAATTGGCTTTGATGTTGATTAGGGGAGGAGGAGCGGTTGAATATATTTCTTTTGTACGCATAGCTCTGGTTTCTTCATCCGGATGGCTACTACTTCAGCCGTTTGAAGGACTTTCAGTCTGACAAGTTTTGGAAAAAAATGACTGACTTTATAAATAATTGAAAAAGATTGGTTTATAATTGCACTATAACCGGTTTGTACTAAATGGGCCAATACTGAGCTGTTCACTTTCTTCATCAAACCTTTGTTTAGCCACGCTGGAAGGTGTTCACGAGCACAAAAATGTAAATTCCTAGAACTTCGACCAATATAACTCGCTCCACAGGAGCAGTCGAACTGATAAATACAAAATGAAGTGGTCATTCGAGGTAATTTATCCTCTAGCCTCAGTGTAACCATTGGGCGCGTGGAAAACACTAATCACAGTTCTCCGGTGTTAAAAGATTTTTGTATTGTCCTACGTAATCTCTGAGTTAATATTTCAGTAGCCACATCGCCTCTGAATTGTAGACGCACGAACAGGGATTTCTTCTTCACCGTTTGTATTTCACCTATTTTCGCCTTCGTGATCATATATTTAATTATAAACTTTCTAGGGTAACCGTTCTCCCTGAGAGTATTATGCAAGGTGTTAAGTGCTTCAAATATATCAGCAGGACATATAGTGCGTATACGTAACTAAGGGTTTTGGTCAAGTTTCGTTCGTACTGTAGAGGTACAAGGCTCAGGAAATGCGTATACTGCCCAGTTTATGTACTTTTTCTGTTTGAGTTCATTTTTAACGATCCATCCGCTCTCTTAGTCAAGAGAAAGTCCAAAAAGGCTATTCGGCCATCACATGATAAACAAGCTTTCTTCAATCCATCAACTCAATAATTAATTTCAGTCGGATTTTTAAACCTACAAATATATTGCCTACTCCACAGGTGGAAAATTTTACCTTCAATGCATACATTTGATTTGACTTATTTGTTTTGTTTCGTTTATTGTTTTTTTCGTAGCTAACTTACTCTACATGGTGTATCTTAAAGAATATTTTAAATATCGACATATCAGTCAAAAATGTTTCTATTAAACCCGGAAAAATGCACTACATCTACTCGAAAGCATTTTCTGTTGTTTCAGTTGTATTTGTATACCGTTTATATGCAGCTGATATATACACATATATCCAAGTTGAAAAAATTTCATTAATAAATAAATGAATCATTGTAAATCCAAGTTTATGGTTGATAGTTTTCAATCTCAGTTTACTTAAACCAATTGTTCTTCAAAATTCCTTTTATTCTCTAGGTACTCTTTTGGCAGCACTAAATTACTTCTCAACTTTTGACATTCTCACCGTCAGCCAGTGTATAATATAGTGAAATCAAAGATTCTCTGCTAAATATCTTAAGGAATTCTTTATTCGCAGTTCTGAGGAGTCCCAGAATAAAATTTTAGTAGTGTAATATGACCTGAATAGTTCAGTTAGAAAAGGAAGTCTATTAAAGTCTATTATACATTTATGCAGTGACATAAGTGTCATGAAACTAATTACTGTTAGGACAGTGGTAAAAACATAATGAAAACTTTAATGCTGATTATAATCTAAAACCTACAGAAACTACATAACGATGGAAGCAGAAAAATATGTAAACATATTGAAATGAATACGCATGAACTAAAAGGAGAATGGTGTTATTAAATGACTAAACTGAATCTTAGAAGAAATAACGTATGTACCAACCAATATATGAAAACATTTGTAACTAAGATAATAATATCGACAACAAAACTAACTCGTGAAGTCAATGATAATGTCTCTGTCTTTGGCCATAAGTGCCTTGGAATTCATTTTGTTTTTCTACAACCAGCTAATATTAAAAAAATACTGTACTCCTTGGAGACAACAGAACACTCACAAATAGGTGAACTTACTAAGCAATAAAACAACTAGATTCTATTTTGTGGTTTTTAATAATAATTAATTGATCGCAAGGCCCAGCCGAATCCAATCGCCGATGTCTCATAATGACTTTTAGGACGTTATTAAACCTTCACAAATCGTTTAGTGAACCGCCTCATCAAGCTACACAATCGTATTAGTTAAACAATCGGCTAAAATGCATGTCTTTATGGTAGGGATAAACAGTCACATTGGAAGCGCTGAGAGAAGATTGTATAAGAAGCTGGGAGATAATTGGATAAAGACACGTTACATTTTGATAGCAATAACATAATCAATAAATAGCCTAAAATTTATAGCAAAAAAGTGTTTACAACAAAGCTATAGGCTTCTTCATTTTCGGTCTCATTTAGCCACAAATCAAACTTGGTATGAGTATAATCATATATATATACTGAATGCCTATTACCCATCGTAGAGTATGGCTTGTCAAATGGAGATCTCTGACCAAATCTTATTCGCTCTCGTTTTTAATAGTGTCCAAAGTGCAGTTCATTTATAGGAGGTGTCCTATCAACCAACCCCCAGCTTCTTTTCCTAATTTTCTCTTTAGTTGGAAGGTGGTTTGTTCTCTCTCATTGTAGGTTGTTACTGATGGTATTCGGCCACCGGATTTCCAGTGGGTTCAATGGAGCTGGTCTATTCAAGAGTTCTTCGGAGTGATCTACTCACCTTTTCCGCTGTTCTTGAATCCCAGTGATCGTCTTGGGTGGTTGCTCTGGTTTATTATATTTCCCTTCAAGTTTCTTTTTTGTTTCATATAGTTTTTCTATATATCCTTCCCTTGCAACTTATTCCGCTTTCGTTGCTAGCTCTTCTACGTATTTCCGCTTAGAGGCTCTAATGCTCCACTTCACTCTCTTGTTTGCTTCAGTATATTCAGCCTGTGCCCCAACTCTCTCTGAAACTGGTCTTTTTTCTTCACTCAGTCCAAGCACCCCCACGAGGTATCTTTTCATTTCTTCAGGTATTTGAACTGTCCTCTCAGTGCTCCACATTGTGAGGGCGTTCCGTGTACCTGTATTAATTTTTGCTCTGGTTATCAGAATGGGCATCGGTATTATGACTTTTGAACTAAATTAGAAGTTCGGTATTAATTTAAAAATTATAATCGTAAATACATAAAATATGAAACACTGTAGAAATAAAAGTCTTCAAGCTTGTCTGAATATTTTTGTTTTTGAATTATAGTAAAAACTAAGGTCATTTATTAGTAATAAGAACAGCAGCCATGGAATTCAAATCATTTAACATGACAGTCATTCTGATTCTGCACACTGTGAATTTTTCAAAACTTTGATTGATTGCCATAACATTGAACATATAATTGCACCCCAGAATAGATTCAGTATGTCAAGTATGATACCCAAAATAAAATAAATTTTGAAGGCATCTATAAGAAATATCCGTTGTGCTTCACTGGTATGATGATGTATATTGTAGGATACCAAATACCAAAATGGAACAGCACAAATATTTCTTGTTAGAATAAATGTGACGGCAAATAAAGAGGTTGTTATGGCAACGTATTTGTGATCTGAAGAATATCCACATGTACGCAGAAACCACCTGTTTAGGTAGTAGGAAGACAAAAAGTTCATCAATAAACATATTTTTGTTATTCTCTAAATTAGATTACTAAAACATACTAGATAATGCGCTATATCTGTATTTCACATAACCTTAGGATTAAAAATCAAAGATGTGAATGCAAACATAGAAAATACAAGAGTTGGTTACCGAAAATTCTAAACTAGAAAATGAGTTATCTTTGTCGTCGTATAATAATAAACTAATCACAATGCCATTTAGCTATACAATTTATAGAAAAGATTGAAAACTCTTTTACAAAACCAACCTAGTTTAAGTTTTTTTCATTTCTATACTGTTATAATTGTTTATGATGTGACTTGTTATTTAATTGTAAATGAATATGACGTAATCCTGACTGACTAGCGGGGATAAAATCTGGATTTACCTAAATAGCATCATGAAAATTCTGATTTATATTAATATAAAAGTACAAACATTGTTTCCATTCTTAATCAATGAGAACTAGAAAACTAAAATGTAAATAGCTGCTAACAGTTTCTTCCAAATAAACAATATTCAGGCACTTACAAAATCGAGACTGGAAGGATTGAATTACATTTTGTTGAAATTTTGGAACTTATGTTTTACGACAGTTACGAGTGAATGAATTATCCATACACATTTACTTTTTTATCTATAGCAGACCCTGAAGTAGGTGTTAGTAGCCTTTATAATGCTAAATATCTGAGTCTTGTCGTTCCATCATCAGTCTATTTATCTGAATCAGGAGTCTGAATAAACATACGCTCCTCGTAAGTCGTAAGATTATCCATTTAAACCATAAGGAAATTAAAACACCTGATCTAACAGACATTTATCATTCAAGGTGAAAACTGAATGGTCATATGATATTAATGTTAATAGATACTTGTGTTTGAGTTAATCAAGTGTCTTTGTATTGTCCAAATAAATTCGGATATTTTGAAACGGTTTGTACGGAGGCCTTCAAAGTTATTTATTAACAAATACTACTTATTTCATTTTTTGTAAATCAAGGACATAATGCTCTTCATTCTAAAACAATTTTGATAAATGAGAGAAAAACTCAAATAGATGTCCGATTACTTGGATACCAATAGTAACTTCCTCTGAAGTGAAGGTTTTTCTACGATTGAAATAGTAGTATCATTTATCTGTCTATTTTCGTCTAATGTTATGTAAAATATACCAATACTCGACAATAGGTACATTATCTATTTCTCGCTAAATGATAGTAGGCGTTTTTAGATTACTTAAAAGTAGTTAATAATTTTTGAACAAATTAAATACCCAATGGCGATATCCGGTTAGTATTCTCGATACAAAATTACGAAATGGAAATAGTCTAGAACTTTCTGCAGGCTTTTACGAAAGTGACTTTGGTGTTGGTTGGATTATTCGGATGTATGCATTATGACTGTTAGAAACTTCGTTGTCACAAGAAATACAAAAATGCTAATTTCTTCTGTTCCAACCTCCAATCTTTTACCAAAATGACATCTTTTATAAAATCAACTGTTCTAAGCCTTAAAGAAACGAATTTATGTGTGTTACAGTACTTGTTCCTATCCTGTGTAGTTAGTTCCTGGTTATTTTTACACACTGGGAAAATCATGTAACATTGTCTATGATATCACTGAGTCTGTGATTTATAATTAACTGAGCTCACATTTTGGATATATATGTCGACAACCAATGTTATTTTTATTATCAAATCTGAACACAATTAGATATCCTGTTATATTCTATGAATCAGCTCGTAAAAACACTATCTAACGACATTTTTAAACGTTAGACGACACTAGTTGGAGAACATATAAAAATCAGTTTCTACCTGTTTAAAAAACATTAAAATGATCTTGTTTGACTGTTAATAATAGTATTACCATAAAATACCTAGTGATTCAGGATTCGTGTTACCGAGATGTCGTAAACTATAACGAAACACTGTATAGTTACCTAATTGATATCATTATGTAATTAACAGTCTATCTACCTATCGAATTATTCTTTCTAAGTAAATCAACTAAATGTTGTAATCTCGTAAACAACACAGGGAAAATATTTACTTAATTATAAATTGTCTACTATGGTGAGAAGCTACCTCTATAGTCATGTTACTCAGCAGAACGTTCATTTTCTTCCTACAATTTGAAATTTAGTCAGTAAGTAATTGACCATTTATTTGTCCATGTTTTCTTCTTTCTTTCTTACAACCTTCATTATCCATACTTCTATACTTGTCTGTGACCGAAAACTAAGACTTAACTTATATGACGAAATAAGCAAAAAACAAATTCCAGCATCTTTTTAATTTGTTAAATAGGCATATAAATAGACTTCGTTGTCTAATAGTGCTTTCATTGAGTATATTCTCATCATTAAAACTATAATCTCTAATAATACTTACCTGAGATTAATGAAGGGAGTAGAAAGTTCTGTCAGATACTTCAAATATGCATAGTATTTTCCAATTTCATTAGACTAAAATAGACAAATGAGTGTTTAAATTAATACTTTAGAGATCAACATGCATTACAGTCATAAAGGCAGCAATATGTAACTTACAAGCAGATTGATGTATTGTCAATACAATATTTGGCCTGTCGCTTTTCACTTTGGGCAAAACGTAACAAATGTATCATATTCCTTATTTGACGAGATTACAATTTATGGACGAACCAATCACGTATACGATAACAGGCCTCGGATTTTGGCGCGAAATTCACTGATTCATTTGGATAAACAGAGTTTTGATATTATAGCTGATGTCAATTCATGATAAAAACCTGAAATTTAATTCCTAAGCTTAACCATCAACTGTAAATTATAATTATAATTCCTCATACAGGTTCATAACCCTTATTTGGTTCTGGTTATTAAGTGGACACTCTCAAGGGCAGTCTAGCGTCGCTCATTAGTCGGCCATAAATCATATTCTCACGCCTTAATTAAACGATAATAAAGCAAAATGCGAAAACATATAATTTTAATGACTTCCCAAATGTATTTAATGACAATTATTTGGCCATTATCTAAAGTCCCTGACCAACTCGTTTTGAATAACTGTTATGGTTTTCTTTATCTGTTTTTACCTTGTTTTATTGCTTATTTTCTTTGTAAAAACAATCTACCATGCTATTAAATGTTAGACAAACAACTGAATTACTATTCCGATTATAAGTTAAACCAAACTTATTTAAAATGAAATTAACTGATTTACGGGAAATGCACCTAATTCAGTACACGCTACATCTGTCATTTCCGATCTAAGTTAAAAACAAAAATAAATCGTAAACAGGCTTGATAAAACTGACCAATTATATCAATAATTAGTCAGTTGGTTGAAGTTAGACATTAACACCATTGGATGCCGGCTCAGTGGTCTAATGGTTAAGTGCTCGCGCGCGAAGCCAGTAGGTCAAGGGTTGGAGCCCCGGGTGGTGCGGGGTCGTGGATGCGCAGTGCTGAGGAGTCCCATGCTAGAACGAAACGGGCGTCCAGTGCTTCCAGGTTTGCAATGGTGGTCTAGCTTTATATATATAACTAAATTTCCTTAGAGTGTATCTAAAACCCAGAAGTTGTTCTGTCATGCCCTCCCCAGCAATGAATATTATTATAAAGTATTTCTAACCTATTTTGGATAACGCTGATATGTCTCGACAGTGTATAAACTGAATCAAATTCATTTGTGTCAATGATTTAAACTCTTGATCTTTGTGGAATTCTGACTCATCATGTTAATAAATTAATGGGACGATGAAAATTTGTATCCTCAAGTTTCGATTCATTTTGTTTCTAGCTTTCCTTCCTAAGAGAATTTCAATCCAGTTAAGTCTTTTACTTATTTTTGTATTTAAATCGAACTCACTAATTCTTAATACTTACATATTTAATTATTGGAGAATGAAATATCCGCAATGCACTTGACTGTGAATAGAATGGTCATCGGCACTAGGATCTGCACTCAAAATCATCTTATACAGAACAAAAAGAACCTGTATTGCAAATAAATAAACCAGTGTATACCTAATCAGTATATGTTTACATAAAATTCATAAGAATTTAGACTAAGCTTTTCCAGATGACTTGGCTTCAATAAGTCAACGACAGTGATTTAGGACATGTATTGTAAAACCGATAAACTAGATTTTGATTAACATCTCAACGCACACTAATCATTTTAAGGGAAATCAGACTAAGATGTGGCCATTTTCTTACTTTTACGTACAATCTGGTACTACTCTTTGATTATAAATAGGTAGTGAAAAACTGTTCAGGTAAGGGAGAAGCAACTAATTTTAAGTAGGTCACTGTCAAACCAAACATCAGTTTAGCCTGACTTTTATCCTTTTATACGTAGGATCTCTAGCAACCAAAGATAATAAAGCTGCATTTCATTGATCAGTATAAAAATTTTCGGACTCTTGGTTCATCCACAATAATCAGATGTTAATCAAGAAGAAGTATTGAGGTCATACATTATTAAGACTTATATAGCAATATCCAGCATTCATTTCAATGGGACTCAACAAGTACTTTTGACGAATTTCTCGTTAACGTTAAAGATCTCTCTTACTTTAACAGGCAGGTTTTCCGTATGTTGTAAACAAGAAGACAATTTAATATACTCTACATTATTACACGAATAAGAAATTACAGGATTTAGAAAATGGGCATTCAGAACCATTTTCCAGAGTGGCTTAAATACAAATTACAATACTGACCAAAATTGTTTTCGAATATTAAAGATTCCCATTGTGAAAATTAGAACAACACATATAAGCGAACAATTGTTTTCAATTAGATCGTCATCAGGCTTTACTCTAATATACATGAATATTTATACGAAAATGTTAAACCAATCAAGGCAATATGAGTCAATAATCACAATGAAATAAAATAAGTCTCTAGGTAAAAGTACAAGTTGATAGTAGGAAGACAGGTGAACTGATAATAGTGAGAATAATAAAATACAATAACAAAACTCTTATCAATAATTAAACGTTGGAAATAGAAGGTCAAATAAACATGGGTAAATAGACTAGGAATAGTAATCACAAAACATTAAAATCATTACGTAATAAGATGTGTGTAAATAATTAGATAGTGAAGAATACAAAGAGGCGGAAAATTACAAACAAATAATGGATGTGAAAATAAGGTCAATGATAACACAAATAAAATAAAATGAATAAGGATAATAATAAAATAAAATAAATAAATAAAAAGAATTGTTAGTTAAGTTATAACTGGCCATGGAAGGGATAGGGGGGTCACGTATTTCTTCTGTACACATAAATTGGGGTTATATGTACGAATTCCAATGGCTTCAGCTATATATGGGTTTAACATTTTCGTATAAATATTCATGTATATTAGAGTAAAGCCTGATGACGATCTAATTGAAAACAATTGTTCGCTTATATGTGTTGTTCTAAAATTGTTTTCGTTCAGTTTCTCATGTAAAAGTTCACCTGTGAAATCTTTTTTATATAAAGTATGAAATTGTCTACTTGGTGATTACAGCCAAAAGTCCATTAAACTGGCATTACATTTCAGTTTTTATTTCTTCACATGTGACACTTTTTTATTTGCATACAACATAGTAACTAAGTAAAACTATATACTACGATACTTATTAAAATTGTATAGGATACCTACACCCACTTAGTGTCTTCCAGATCAAACACACACAAAAAAACACCAGGGTTCACTTCAGTTGTGTGAAGCTAATGAACATATTCCCTTCCTCTATGTACATCTTCACCAGTATCAGTGGTAATAAAGAACTAGCTTTAAATATTCTTGGGAAAATATGGTCAACAAGAAATGTGTTTTCTGGATACAGCATTTTAAATATAAGTACTGTTTTACAATACCAGTACATTTTTAAATACCCTTTGAACGGATTATGCCACTTCAATAAATGCCAAGTACGATCAGGCGTGAAGTTTCAATCTGATTTCTTATTTCCCATTATGTTTTGATACCTACGACTTTATAAAAGGATGAATTAGTAAAGAGAAATAATAAAAATTTCTAATTCTTGATCTTAAGAATAGAAAATAATATTATTTGTGTTAAGATTCGAACAGTGTTTTCACAATATAATTAAATAAACACATGAACAATAGGAATCATGTTTAACTGAATTCTACAATCAATATGTTTGTGACCCAGTGTTTTTTTTCATTATACTGATTGAAATAAATCTTAAATTAATCGACTTATAAAAATGCGACTCACTAAAAATGCTGAACTTCCCCAGATAACAATCGAATGATGGATTATGTAAGTCCATAATGAAGCACCTTTTAAGTACATGATCATTGTCAATGAATCTGTATTTTACCAAGTTTCAAGCATCAAAGTAAACAGAAAGAAGTATGATAAAATAAATGTTGTACGTAAAATACACAAGTACCAATTCGGTTTGAATTAACACCTATTTTTCTCTTGAGGATCTAACTGGGTAGTATAGGAAACTGACTTTTCATTCGGTGCATCATGTATAAAGATGGGTTTTATCTATTTCAGGTCATGTAGATTTCATACATCATACAATCAAGCAAAGTCATACATTAATATGTAAACTTCTATGTGACTAATCATTTCAACTACCATTAATTTACTGCTTCGATACATATATACCAGCCAGAATAATACTCACTAGATATATTTAAATTTATGAAGTACTTATGCTGAATACGTACATGTTGTATAATTCTTATCTTCGGTATTCAGTTACCATACAGCCTGCTTTCAAATCATCTGGCTGGTTGTTTACTTTCAATAGAATAAGGTTTTGGATAACTGTAAAGTTTTTCAGCTCAAAACCTTTTCTGAAATGTATTTACTTTAAGGCTAAAAGAATCCATTTAAAATATACTAATTCCTTTATTATCATCATTTGGCACATGGTCTATCCATCTTGTGGATATTTTAAAGCATAACAATAAATAAACGATCAAGAAGTACTATGTATTTTAACGAAAACAGCATCTAGTCAATAATTATTCAATTTTGATCATGATAAAATGTGTTCACAGTTTGCTTTTTTTAACTGAATTATTCTAAATTTCAGTGGTCATTTGTTTTTAGGTAGTTACGTCATTAAGGAAACTAGTTGGTGAGTTATTCAAAACTTCTAACAGTAAAACACTGAACCTTGGAAAAAGCTTGCTTATTGTAAAACCACTTATACTCATTGTTATTTTATTTAATTTACAAGTGAAACTTGTAAAAATTATTTGATTGAAGGTTTGTTTCACTACCGTTTAACTCACTGAGAAGTAATAAAAACCAAGGGGCAGAAGTTTATAATCCTCTGTTTATGAAAGATTAAAACTGCTAAAACTTAAAACAAAATGTACTTTTCTGGAAACTGCATTTCTCCAAATGAGACCTGGGTGATAAAGTATTATTAATAATTTACATTTGATGACCGTTCAGATATGGGCAGCTTTTCTGAACAGTTGGATATAAACAGCTTAAAGCTTTTTATAAACTATAACTAAACTGACCTTAGCAACTTCAGAAACACTTAGAAAGTCAATCAGGGCCTTTACTGATGGATTGCCCCGTCTACACTAACGTCTCATCTAGAGATAGTGTGACTTGAATTTGTAAGGCAAAACGAGGACCGATTTACATTTTCGAATCCATTATCTCTCTTTTATTCAAGGTAAACGCTATTTCAGTTTCGTGTATTGCGTTTGAATGGACGTCTCGGAAAGGCTTTACGCCTGTCCTTCAAATCAAATGTTTTATTCCAGTATTCTTACTTATATTTAAGTGTTTTGGGACGAAGGATATCTCAGTTACTTTGTTATCAATTAAGGTCCTACATATCACCAAATCATTTTTATTGGAAGCCACAATTTAAACTGTTAGGTTTTCACTTTTCACTTTTTAAAACAGTAATTCAGAAGACAAATGTTGATCAATTGTGGTAATTTATACGGTATTTTCTCTCAGAAGTATATATTGACTATAAGCGCGATAGTTTTTTTGTGTCCCATAAATTAAATTTCATTGTGACCTTGATTTTTGTAAAGGCCGCACAACTACATTTGGGATCGAACATTATTGTTCATAGGTGATTGACAAAAAAAGACAGAAGTAAATTGTATTCACCTAAGAATTGTTACTTACCATAAATCATATAACCGCATGATATGCACATTCCAACGTTGCTTAAGAAATCTGAGTAACTAAATTAGTCATTTCGTATTGATTTTTTGACGTTATTGTTTACACCAGAATTTAGGGATATTTTGTCGAAGGATTAAAATAATGTGTGAAAAAATACGTAAAGCTAAATGAGTACTGAAAACAAGTGATAAAACAAAAATGAGATAAACAAATTCATTTGAATTATTTCATAAAACATGTTAAAGTTGCTTCGCATCTATATCATTCCCTGCTTTTGAGTAATCTCTTTAATGAATGCCCCGTTGGCAACCGTATTCGACAAAACAGTGTGTAATAACGGTGAGCTCGAAGCGAGAACAAAGATACTCTCAGAATTTGTTTATCCGGATAAAAAAGCTAGCGAGCAGATTCTGAAACAATTATTTAATAATAAATATACTTTTTGTTATATCCCAATAAGTAGAAAAATGGTTTTTCTGATGTTTCGTGACTTAATGTAAACCACTTCTTCAAATAGCACTGTTTAAATTTATTTTGGTTACTTATATACTCTTAAGAAGGGGCTTACGTTAAGTCACGAAACATCAGAAATACAACTTTTTTAATCCTTAGGATATAACAAAAACATATATTTGTTATTAACTTCCTATCCAATGCTCACTTGATTTGAAACCATCATGGTCAACCTTGGCGTCGATACCTATAATTATCAATTAGTAAGGTACTTTCTATAGTAACTAAGTCCTTCTATATAGGATGCAGAGTGGGGATTTATACGAAAATTTAGACTGTAATGAAACGAGGATCACGTTTTCATGATTCTTAAATATTTAAAGTAGCAAGCGTCTAGCTCAGAATAAAAATTGTCTCCGTATTCAGTGTTATTCTTAACCATTAACTGCCATGAACTTGAGGACTCTTGAAAACGAAGAGTTAATTAAATAATGTTGTTTTCTCATTTGACATTTCTCATTCGTTTTATGTTTTTCAGCTTCAAAACCAGAGCATTCAGCAACACACCATCTGGAAATGTTACTTTTTTAAATATTATTTCACAAACAAAATAAAAAACTAGAAAACTGCTAACTACCTCATTCATCTGCTTTTTCTAAATTCATGAATGTGAATAAACTTCCTAAATCTTACAAAGATTTCTATTTCCAGTTCAATAGAAATTAGTTCGTGTGAATTCATTACTGATCTCTCATCCTTTTTCGAACTTACTTAGAGTACTTTAGATAAATTTCAAATAAATGGTCTTCAAATCTTGAAGGTAAGGCAGTTTTAAAATGTGCTTTTTAGTGTTTTAATATTATCTATTAGTAATAAAATGTGAGTTACATGTTAATACAGAAAATTTTTTTCAAAGTAACAACTATACTTATTATCATGAATTAACAATAGTTGTAGAATAGATTAAAAACTAGAAGTCCATAGATAACGCTTAGTGATAGTTCATAAACACCAGTAAATATTATTGATTCTATAAACACTTAAATCGAATACATTTGTTTCCCTAGATAACTATTCTAACGACTATCCATACGTTCTTCATGAAATTTCAGGGATTTTAGTTAAATACTCAGTGAGGTCGATACTCCTGAAGAAGTAGAACGAAATTTATGTATATGTCGCCTAGTAATTTGTGATAACCGATGCACATACTGTGTTGATGAATATAATGTACAAACTCATAAAAGTACTAAAGTGCTCTTATCTCCTTTTATATTTCTCCTCCCGTTTTATTAATTATATCCCATCCTATAATATATATATGTATATACATGTCATGAGTATTATGTTACTAATAAATTAAATGCATAATCAACTATCTAATTACAAATCCATTAAATCAATTAATTCATGAACTCAATTACATTAACAACATGCATTTTAAATAAATAAAAAAACAACATGATAATAATGCTAATCATGCTGAACCACCTTAATTCATGATCGGAAAAACGTGAATTTAGCAGTAGTTAATTAATCATTAAAACAAAAAACTAAGCTAAGTATTCAAATATTTTAATGAGAATTTGTATGTATTTATTTTAATATATATGAACTATATATAGGCCTACAAACTGAATTAACTATTTGTACAGGATCAACAAATATATCAATTTGTCAATGACATTTCTTGCCAAATTGTATAACCTTTTAAATGAACATAATTCAAATTAAATTTCTTGTTTAATGCACTAAAACGAATCTGTCAGTTTTAAATTAAATTGAATTACATGTAAAGGATAAGATGTTTGATTAGATTTATCGGAATCCTTTATGAATCGATAAAAGATATGTGGTTCACTGAGAGACAAAATACCTTTTGCACATCAAATTCGCACTAGTTCTTTTATATTAATATTTCATTCCAGATCTTTATATTTTCTAAATCTTTATTCTCGTCCATAGTATTAACTTTGTGTAATGAAAGCAAGGTGTATTGAAATATGTGTGATATGCATATCAATTTGAATGCCTTCCAGTACAATAATAAAGACTAAATAACTAAAACCAAATTATACGTAACTTGAAGTTCTCATAACCCCAAAGATCTAACTATGGAATTCAGTATATGAGCTTGAAATTAAATTTTTCATCACTGAATCGGTAACAGGGTGATTTATGTTACCCCTCATACCTAAGATAGACAACTCTAACAAGTAGATTATAATTCAACCATTTTATAATTATTTTTATAATAAAAATTTAACAAAATCCAAAAAAATTGTTTAGAAAAGTGGCCTTAAACGTTGTGAGCTTTAAATAGATTGATTTATTTGTTAGTGAACTTAAACTCAAAATCGTTTATTATCAGAGTAATCAATGCAATTAAACCATATCATCAACTATGATTTTATTATTTAGTTTAAGAACCATAAGGTATCACGGGTTTTGTATGTATTATCATGTGTCCAATCTTTAAAAAAACAGATTCATACAGAAGTATTATTCTACAAGCTGCAATAAGAACCTGTTTAATTACTTGAATTAACTTAGTTCCACTTCTTCTCTACGATATCATAGACACGAATATACGCTCAGTATTTATTATAGCTTATTGTAGAGATTTTTGTATTTTATAGCTTACATCACGAGCTGATCTTGGGTTTATGAATGCACACTAGTGAAAAGTCCTATACTGGAGCAAAAACTCTGTTCAGTACAGGGTGTTAACTGTGAATTGGCATGCTTCCTAGTTATCCTGGGTTTCTTAATATGATTAAAAGTTATTACTACAACGCGTAAAACGAATGAATATTTCGTTTGAATAAACTAAGACAATGCACCAAATATATTGTCTATCTTACATTATTTTTATTATAGATACTGAAAGATTAAAAAGAGAAATTTTACCGGTCATCTTATAAAATAAATAGATAGAAATTTAGCACTGGTGGAAACAAGACCATATAGATCAGTGTTTTTGAAATCGCCTCCCTATATAGTCTTTAATGTACTCAGACTTCATCATTCGCTGGGATTATAAAACACCAATATATATAGTACTAGGTGAAATTACTTGTGAAAAAGGCCTCCTACCCAATCATTATCATTTCATAATAGTTCAGGAAGTAAACGTTTATTTTATTGATAACATACTCCTAATGTTGACCGTCAAATTCAAAAACTCATTACCTGTACTTCAGCATACATATAGATCTATATATGCACCTGAGATTATCACTGCTAAACGGTGATATAAAATTGTGAATATCAGATTTATAAAAGTAAATTTACACATAAAACAAACTTTAGGAATTAATTTGTATTACAAGAATTTATCTTCATGCATTTTCTTGTTAAATAGTAAACAGTAGAAACTGATCAGTAAAATGAAGATGGAATGCACTGTTGATAGCCATCTAATTTGATTGAAAAAAAATCAACACCAAAAGAATTTAATATCAGAAGGGGTTTTTGTGGATATTATAGTAATTTTAATGGTTAAGATCATGAGTCAATTAAAGCTAAACCACAATAGGACGAAACGGCCTTTCAGTGCTTTTAGGTTTCCCATGATGGTCTAGCAGCAATTGACTCATGATCTCAACTATTAGAATAACCAAAAGGATTGTTAATAAAACTTTATTAAACAATAATAAAATGGTTAACTGATTTTTGTAGTATGAAAAAGCTGGTATGAAGCTTAGTAGTTGAGTTTTATCCTTCACCAAATGACAAGATATGGTAGTAATCATATCATAATGGGATTAAATCTATTTAAAAGATCAATTAACATTGAGATGAAAATGACCTGAAATAAGGCCTACGCAGCACCATTTCCTCACATTAGTTGAAAGCAAAATTTGTTATTATATAGTACTAATTTCACTTTGTATCCACATTGGTTTGATAGTTTCTTTAAACTTTCAAATATGTCATCTTCATAAATGGGAAGAACGGGTTACAGCTATTATCTTTATTAGGTAATATTGACTGGTATTAATTTCTATTATCTATTCAGTTTTTAAATGCATGCGATACAATCATTAAAACAATTTACAGATTGATCGTGGTAATGCCAACTACCAGAACGAATAAAATGATTATTTACTACATTTGTTCTTCTTCTTCTTCAGTTATCGGTAATTTTACGGATTGCTTTATTATTTTTATAGTATATGTTTTTACAATGAATCACATCTCAGAAAAATTGATTTTTTGTCATAATTTCAGTACACTATGAAAACTTTATTAGTGTTCAGAATTAGTCTTGAATTTAGTATAACTAAATTATATGTTCATCAAATACGAAATTAGAACGGATTTAGGACTAAATTTAAGCGGTCACCTCAAACTAATTAGTCTGACAACAAAATTATAAAGCCTTTTATAAACTTATTATTTACTTAGTAAATTCAAATTTCAACTTGAATGGAATTGACTTCAAACTTTATAATATGGAGTTGCTTAACTGAAATATGGAATTCATCCCAACTTGAAATAAATGATAAGACACTAGGAGAGAATTAAAAGGTACAAAGACAAATTAGTCTAAAGGGGGTTGAAATGAAGTCACAATTTATTTGATTCAGCACTCTAATGAAACTACAAAAAGTAGACATTTGTTTTTTTTAGATACTATCTCAAAGTTTAATAAAAACTCAAAAAGTGACGAATTCTACTATCTGTCGAATATTGTTTCAAGGTTGATGTCGATGATATTGATTTCAATATTGGTTTTATCAGATGAAATGAACATTAAGTGAAGTAGACTTGAGTGTAGATAGGGGAAAAAGTTATTTAGTAATGGA